CACGAAACTATAACCTTCATGTTCGATGAAAACAGAAATGACTGAGAATTGAGTTAAGCAGTGCAGCCATTAAAACATACAAAAAGGTCAGTGAGTGCAATAAAATATAAGACTTCAACAAAGATGGACAGGAGTATAAAAAAGTGAAAAAAAAAAAGTGATGACCACTTTTTAAGTACACATTTGTTGTGCATATAAGTGTGTATGTGAGTCCTGATTTTAACTGTATTTACAGACTTGCTTCACATTCAACCATGTCTTTATATCAAGGTAAAACCTCATATTTTATCAATAACTTTATATCACATGGTGATTAATTAAATTACATAGTTTAAACTTCTCACTGAGAGATGATTGACCGAATGTTGTCACTCGTTAAACTCCCAGTTTCCACGTCACCTTCACCTAACCCTAACCCCAGCTGATAGAATATTTTTGGTGAAGGGTTGTTCATGCACATAGAAATCAGCAATGTGAACAAAAAGTTATCTAAACTGTCAGAACACGACAGTTTACCTCTTAAAGTATTTCAAACAGTATTTTGCATCCAGCTGGTATATCAGCAGACTACTGCGATTTACCACAGTATCTGCTCAAATGCTCACCAATATTCAAAATGTTTCTAGAAAAAAAAAAGTAATGGTGAAAGTTGCAAAATTTACCAGGGAGATATTTCCATTTTTTTTTTGTTTTTTTGAGTTTCACTATTGTCTACCACATTGAGTTCACACTAATAAACTGCTCATTAACTGATTTCTGGAGATACTACTCAAGAGGTCCAGTAAGTATCTGATATTCTTTATCAAATAAGGACGTAATTGGTTCATGAAAAATTGAACCAACAAACCTAGTTTTTGCTCAGTCATTTTATCTGGTTCATGTATACTTGATTTCTTTCATTGCATTATACCCGAGTATGAGTGAAGTATGGGAGCTACAATGGAATAGTAGAAGAAGAAATGGTGAACATGGCAAACAGCTGCAGCAGCTGGAGTACAGAGAAGCAGAACTCTTGGACTGAAGTTAAATTGAGTTCATGCTCTACAAACTGAAGGATAGCAGACACTCACTGTGGAGGAACTTACCATCATTTCTCCTCATGATGATGTCTCAATTATAGTAAGTACAGCTGATTCTAAAATGGTAAGGCCATGACTTTTTAAGGGAACAGGAAGTTTGGGTTTTGCATCATGTACCTATGGTAAGAAATCTGGCTATAAAGCATTACTGATACGCATATAATTTATTAGCATTATCTGATTATTCCTGGTTATTACATTGATATGATCACATAAACAGACTCATTGTCCACCTGTTATCAGTCCATTTTTCCCCTTAAGTTGGCATCAGTAAAACTGCAGTAAAGCTAAAATAATCATCATACTCTGTGTGATATGATAAAAAATGAACAATATTTCTGTTATCATATCTCATCAAAGATAAATCACTTACATTCAGACTGAAAAGCTTCAGCATTGAGTTTAAAGGTTCAGAAATGATTAACTCCACGTCCACTTGCTGGTGGTGTCCCTCAGGAGATGATGTTTACAGATTTAAAATGAAAAAAAAAACTATGGAGTAAAGAGTATGTTTCATGTTTATATCATCTTTTTTGATTGCTGTAGACCAATCTGCATTTGAAACGCTGAACAAAAGTATCATTAAAATCAACTAAGATAAAGTCATTGTTATCGTGGACTATGCAGTTTTACTAAAAAAATACTTAAATACAAAAACTTTTATTTTTATTCTTGAACAGCAGCTGTCGGTTTCCTCCATGGACATCTGCACACAAGACACCTGAAATTAAATCTTGATGTCCAAAATATGTCATTAAACAGTCTCCATGTCTGCCAACATAAAAACTCAAAATTTGCTTTTGGCTCAGAGAAGAGAGAATATAGAAAACATTATTATTTTTTTTTATTATAAGATGCTTCAAATGGCAAAATATGATGATCTTGATCACAAGCAGTACTTTTTTATTGGTTGCAAATGCAAAGTGAAAAAAAAAAGCTTTTAATGCGTTTTATGTAAAATCATTACTAGTATTTAACTTATAATCTCTGTATAAACAGAGAGGGTCAAAAACATTCTGTCACAATTTCTTTAAGGTAAATTACTGTTAAACATTATTTTCTTTAACTTCCTGTGCTGACATGAGTGATAATGTCTGTTACTGTAATGTTCTGGTAATTTAGGATGAGGCAAAATTATATTACACCGTACATGTATTAACTTTAAGCCGGTAACACATGAATGTGGACCACACACATGTAAAATCATCTAAACAGTTAACATTAGAGTAACTCTGTCTATGAAACAACACTGTCAAACACACTGAAGATCACCTAACCTGCAGCATGTTTGACTGACACGTGACCACCGAGTCGTCTCAGCTGGGATCTTAAATCTATGGTTGAAATCCCTGACAGCAGTCAGTGTCATTTAGAGGTAAAATCAAAATAAGGTAACTCCCTCAGTCCTGGCAGGAGTGTTTCATGGTGTATCATTCTCAATCTGACAGACAGTCTCCTCAAATTTCCTCCAAAAGTTTTAGTATTTAGTCAGAGAAAGCAGATTCACATCGTTCATGACAGAGCAGAAAATGTTTTTGATCCAACCTCCAACCTCTGACTTTTATCAACTGAATGCTAAAATCCTTTATTCAGGTTTATCACTTCAGGATATCCAGTACAAGTTAATAAAGGATATGACAGAGACAGGAGATTCACACCTTTTACAATAAATTATTTCTGTGTGAAAAATTCATCATATTTCTGAGTTGAGATGTATTCCAAAGAAATCAGTGAGTGAAGTGCACAGCCCAAAACTCTTCAGTTTAGTTTTACAAAAGTGTGATGTTCGCAGTTAGTGTATATCTCTGACCAACAAGTCGACTCATAAATAGCTAAAAGTATATTTAATTTTACATAATGAAATTGAGTATCAAAGAGCTGATACATTACCTCAGTGTGTTTCCTCTTGTTTGAGTGAGTTGTAATTACTATACTGTACTGAGCGTGTGTATTTTATCTACTGCTTTAATAGTGAAATTTACCACAAAAAAATGAAACAGAATTCAAAGACGGTTTTCAACAGAGCTGTCTTTAATTAGAGACGATCTCATTTCACAAAACAAGTGCAAGAACAAACAAAATATTTGACACATTTAAAATATTAAAAACTAAAAAAAACATTCAATTTATTTTATTGTGAAATTGATTGTAAAAGTGCATATAAGTTTTTAACATAAAGTCATTTCATGGTCTCAATAGCAATGTCCAAAAGCTATGATAAAAAATAAATATATAAAACTCAAAAGTTTAAATGATGAAATAAAATTATTTTGGTTTGTTTTTGTTTATTCATTTGAAGAACACTAAAAGTGTCAGGAAAACACTCTTTATTACAGTAAAACAGTTAAAAATGGTAACACTAAAATAATTCAAAGATCATTCAGTCATGATCAATCACATGTTCAGGACTTCAGTGCTAACAGTTAGCTTGTTAGCCCAAGCTACAAAACACTTTGATTAACGTTACAAAGTCATGAGACTATCAAACTTTAGTTTATCTGAAGGTGGAAAATGCCAATTTTTTAAGTGCTACATGTCCACATTCTTGGTGTGTTGGCTAGCAGCTATCTGCTAACAGGTGCTAGCTGCTTCACACAGGAGGAAAGACAAGGGTGGAGAAAGACTGATGGAAGCTCAGAAAGGGTTAACACTTACGAGGTAATCCGAATTGGGCACCAGCATGGCGACATTAAAATGAGTGTGATATAAGCAAACATACTCTCATGCTGTCAAAGCATTTGCCCTCTCATAACAACAGTAGCTGCTTCCAGAAATGTTTCTTTAAACTAAAAGAAGTTCAAAGTCTGATCAAATATTTGGGTTGTTGCACAGGTTCTAGAAACCTCTATGATTACCTACATATAAGATATTAATAATCAATGTATGTTTTGTAATTATTTAGGTATATCTTTAGTATATCATGAAAATGACTTTTTTCCACAGAGGTTTGTTGTCGTCATCCTGCCTCTTGTATAGTTAATCAGAAACACACTGATGTAGTAGTAGTGAAGTGTAGTGAAGTATAATGAGCTTTTTTTTTTTTTCTTCAGACTGTTTTGTTTGGTATTTACTCACTTCTGAAAACATGTCGAATAACTTGTGGAAAATGACAGTCATGCTTTTCTGCAGCTATTGTTGCCGGTGGGTTCAAAGGAGGAAATTGCACAGACATCCACACACAGTAATCCATAATAAAACCACAGTTTGCACATTTCTTCATGCATATATTAATCACACACTTCCTGAGTTTAGAAAATGTGATGGACTCAGAAAAGAGCTAATGCGAACCATGAGTTGACTCCCATATAATGTGTAAAAACAGTTTTTTCTCATATTTTCATTAATTTGTTTATCAGTTGATGTATCGGTTGCATGTATTGAGTTGCTTAAGCTTACAGATTTCATCAGTGTGTCTCCCTCTCCTTGAATTCCTTTAAACATTTATTGTTATACGACAGTTTACTTTATTTCTTCCTCATAGCTCAAAGGTTTTAAGAGCTTTATAATGTGTTTACTTCAGTGAAACTCCAAAACTCTGATAACTCTGTGAGCTCGGAGCAAAAACCTGCAAAAACCTCCTCGCTCCGCCAATAATGGAATCCTGATTTTCCTCTAACTCTGGTGTTTATTTGATGCCTCTGACCAGAGAGAGACAAATAGAAACATTTAAAGCGATATGAGATAGTTCTGGCAGATATAACAAAAGCTATAGAATATCAGACAACAGCTTTATAACACAATTAGTCACAGATAAGCAGACAGCATGTAATCCAGTTACAAAAGCTATTGTTAGCAGGACTCTGATTTGAGAATCATTTGTGGAGTAAAATCACTGCAGTGTGGCGCCTGTTGGCTCACCTCGCAGCCTGTAGACTATTTTATACGGCAGAGTCCATATAATTTTTATTTTTTATAAATAAATCAATAAATCAGAATAATATCATCAGGTTTCAGACAGTAGAACAGCAGAAGTGAACACATATGATTCTCTGGATCTCTGCAGGTTTCATGCAGTCTAAGTCTGACAGAATGTGGATGTTTTATAAAGTGGACTCTGTTCTGGGTGTTTCTGCATGATGATGGGAGGTGTTGGATGTCCTGGGCTGAGCTGGGTGCTTTGTTCCTGGTCTGCGGGGTTGGAGCTCCGGTCTGGGTGGTGAGGGAGCAGCAACGCAGGTTTTTTCCAGCTTTCTGTGCTGGAAAAATTAGGATGCAGCCTCTGTTGTCAGAGCCGGGGAGCTGTCTGCCACTTTCCCAGCAGCCCCTGGGCCGGTGACAGGGAGATGGATGATATCTGCAGCCTGGCCGCACTGCTCCCCCATTGCACACACACACACAAGGAAACACACACACACACACACACACACACACACACACACACACACACACACACACACACACACACACAGAGCCTCTAGTTCCCTCTCTCTTACACACCCACAAACAAACAAAAACACACCTACACACAGTCTCTTTTCTCCCGTTCTTCCCCTTTCCTCTCTTCTTCTCCTCTAACACACGCACATACACACACACTTAGAGAGTGTATAAGTATTTGTCTAATACCTCTCGCTCTTTTGTTGCCTTTGGCATCAAAACTAATATCCCACATATCGAGGGGAATGAAAACCTCACAAGCGAAAACAATGAAAATGTTTTGAGGGGAAGCTGCAAGATTTCTTCTTTGTTTGCTTACATGGAATAAAACATCAGATTTCTAAATAACCACACGCACAACGCACTCAATTTTTATTGACTTTATTGAGACCACTTAAAGTAGCATTATCACTTTAAACATCTGAAATATGACAAATATACAGCTGAACCTTTTGTTTGTTCCAATACATCAAAAATTCTAATTGATAGATTGTGTACTCAAGGCTGTCACAATATACACGCACCGACCATAACTGTCTTTTTAGAAATTGATATTGTCCTAAAAATACCTTCACGGTAGTACTGTGTAACTGAGTGCCTCAAAGTAGGGGGCGATAGTGATTCTTTACTGCAGTTGCCATCTGCCAAAAAACAAAACAAAGACAAAGAAGAAGCAAGACAAGCAAGCTAGCTGTAGCAGCCTCTAGAAGACGGTCAGACACTTTAAAACTGTGTGCAAAGATTTTTGGTCATTAAGGTTTTAATTAAATATTTCTGCCTATGAAAAAAAAAGTACAAACAATATAGAATATTGTACCGGAGAAAGGCAGTAATGTCTGTTTAAAGGGGAACGCTCTGAATGGGAACGCAAAAGGAAAAACAACAACATAAATAAAATAAAAAAAAACAGCAAAGCAGCTTTAAAACACTGCACATTTATACTTCCTAAATATCATTTAGCTTTAAACTATTTTTTGTTTCTTAATTAACTATAATTTACTATCTGCCAGGTGTAGCCCTGAGGTCATTTCAAAATAAAAGCATGCTTTGAAAACATACAACATAAAGCACAGAACTAATATTGTCAAAGCACCACAAAAGACTGTTTTATATCAGGCAATCTCTTTTCCAGTGAAATATCTGATGCAGATAAATCAAAAATTATCTTTACAGCGTATGTTTTTTTCTCCCTGGTAATGTACTTATTATTTTTTTTACCTTTATTATTGTTAGTGAGGATGTGCTAAATTGTGACAGCCCTGTTTTGCACATTTACGAACACTAAACAATTTAAAAAAAAAAAAAAAATGTTGTTACTGTCAGGAGAAACCTCACATTTCAATATTTTTCCTTTTTTGCATTACTTGATACTATTCATCATCCGCTGTGCTTTTTGGTTGATGTCTAACATTTCACAGATGGAAATATAGTAAAAAGGATTTTAGTGAAATCTCATTCAGTGTTTATTTTTGTGAAAAAGTGTTCTTTTTTCTTTTTTCTAATTTCCAAGAGAGTGGTAGTTTTGAAGATAAGAGGTTTCTACCTGACAGTGACGGTAAAAAAAGTATAATCCCACAAAATCATGATTGCAAATTTTAACTACGAACTCATTAGACAGAGATCCTTTTTATCAACCTAAACATGTCTGAAATTTGAATTTAGATTGTCTTCAGGAAGGAGGCTTGAACCCTGGAGATGTGTGTGCAGCATTACAGCAGTAGACAGTATCTAAGTGTTCCTGTGTGGGGGGGTGTTGGGTTCTTAAAAATAGTCCCTCCTCTGTCTTCCACCTCTCTCTCCTCTCCCCCTGTCTCTCCTCATTTTCTCCCGCCTGTTCTCATTGTCCTTACCTGCGATCCCGCGCTCCGCCGCGCTGCTGATGTTCCTGCAGTCGGGACCGAATCCAGCGGCCGTGTCACCTGAGCGACCGACGCTGCATACTGATGAGGAGCAGAGGGGAGGAGGGGTGGAGGAGGGAGGAAGGTTGCTCCACTCTGCTTGCAGGAAACGCCTCCTCCACTTCACTTCAATCCCCTCCCCACCTTTCTGTCTTCCTCCTCTTCCTCATCGTCGCTCTAGAGCAACAGAGAAAAAGAAGAAGGGGGGGACTGTGAAAGGCGAAGGATGGAGGAAAAACAAGGAGAGGAGAGGGGACAAATAAGGCAAGAGAGGAGGAGGAGGAGGAGGGGGGAGAAATGTTGAGATGAGAGAGAGGGAGGGTGGGGAGGAAGGAGAAACGAGGCCCGGGTAGGGAGCGTGGTGTTAAGGGAAACATCCATCACTGTTTTAAGTGACTGCAGTGGGACGGAGCTGAGTAAAAGGTCGTCTGGTCTCTTTCTGTGCACAGTGGGCACCTGGGCCGAGCTGAGCCGCTTCCAAATGACTCCGGGCTAATTATGTCGCGCAGGCCGTCTGTTACAGCCGGCTGACACTTTTACTGACTCACACTGCTGCAGCAAGAGCACAGGCAAAACAAGGCGCTCAGACAAACAAACAAACAAACACTATCCTCTACGCTAAACAGATTAACAGAAAGAGACGAGATGGTTAGGAAGGTTTCAGATTTACAGGAGTGATAATTTATCTTACCTTTAAACACGGAGCAGAGCGTTTGACTGCCACGGCTCCTAGACAAGAAGAGATAATGATAGCAATTTAGAGGCAGTGTGGGAAAATAGAAAACACAGCAGCCATGTTTACTGCTTCATAAGGAGGGGGAATGTGAAAGTGCAGCAGAGTTACCTCGGAATATCAGCTCTGTTTTGTCAGATTATCAAAGTCAAGCCGTATAAAATTAAGCGTAAACACACTGTAATGATCTGAGAGTCCAGAAGTCCAGGAGCTCAACGGATGCTCTCGAGGACACACCTGGAGTTTGAGCTCATAACCTGTTTCAAAGTGAAGCAGTAGGATGTGACTAAGCTAGCTGAATATGTGTGTGTGTTACAGGAGGAAAAAACAACACGCTTCCTGTTTTCAAACCAAATATCTTTTGACTTCAAGATTTTGCAGATTGTGTCCGACACGAAACAAGGGCTGCAGTGGACAATTATCTTCATCACCAATAAAGCTGCAGAATAAGCCATGTCACTGTGAGGTTCATAAAACGAATATTAGAAAAGAGACTCATGGTTCGCCACAGCTCCCCAGCAGCCAAAACAGCGTCCTCGTTCAGCTTCTTTATTTGAACTGTAAGTAAAACAATTGAAAGACTGACACGAAACCTCGAATTTAAAAGAAAGAACCTGAAAATGTCTGAAAAATAACAGGAATATTTAACCGAGCGTCAAAACATTTGGTGATTCATTTCCTCCCAACTGATACTTCAATTCATCAATGTGTCTCTACATCAGGGTTTGAGGAGCAGTGTGTTTGATATGAGCAGATTAATAGTTCGAAATTCATCTACAACACAAATGTAGAACTTCATCAACAATTCAACATAAAAACAGGTTTTAAAAAACCCGACAAAACATGCAACTGTATTTAGTGGCTTGGCATTGATTTGTCTCGATCTATAAACTCGCCATGCTTTTTTCCAGGACAGGCGTCATTATGAGGAAAGCCTGTTATTATTTTCTGATGAAACTTTTCTGGGTGAATTTTGGGTTTTCATGGTTATTTCAGTCTTGATTTCCGTCGTTTCAGCCAGACACTCTCTCTCCTTCTTGCCACTCACTGAGCATGCATCTATTCAGTCATCCTCTCTATCAACTTGTGGAAGACTAGGACCAATTAAGGACCAATCCAAAACATGCTTGCATGCTTTGGATTGGTCCTTGACAATGACAGCTCCTCAACGTGCATGCGCTCCAGCTGACCATAAACCCTCTTCCTCCTTTTCCTGACACTCTGCAGTGTACTTATTCACCGTCTTTATCATACATTAGATAAAGTTCAGCCATGTTTTCTGCCATTTACTGTAAAAATGGACAGGTGAGTGTCCCTCTGCTGCTTTCTGACGCACAACCTTGACAGCCTCACAATATTCAGATCCTTGTGTTTTCTCAGGGTCATAGTCATCGTGATCAGGAAATGTGTCGTGAGGCATGTCAGTCAAAGAGACCCTGCCTTTAATTTGAATGTGCTTCAGTTAGAAGTTTTATGGTTCGTATGCTGTCAGGGGCTTTATGTTTGAAAATGTCAGGAGAAAAAAATGTCTTTTTCATCAGTGTTTCTGTCTAGTTCATGGTCCTTTAGTCTGCTGGAAGAGTTATCAGCTCACTGATGATACCTAATCTTTGTGTTTTTCATTAAATGTAGCTTAGTATGAACAAACTTTTTAAAAAATATTTTCTGATCTCTTCTTTTGAGATTCAAGTGTTATCATCTGCAGTCTTATTTATTCACCGTGTCTGTAAAAACGTGAATATCTAACTCTGCAAATAAATGTAGAGAAATATAATACTTATCTTTCCTCAAAATGCTTCAAAACAAGAGCTACACAATAAATTGCAATCCCCAGATTTATTGTAAGCATCTGCAATAAAAACTTAATAAAAGTCTATATTTGTTGCAGAAATTAATTCCTACAAACAAGCAATGCATTCTCCCTCAGTGTATTGACATTTGACCAATAATCTAACAAGCTGCTGACTCTGATTAACTGACAATAATTTAGTGGTTAAAAATATAAAGTTGCACACATTTATGGACATACTGCACACAAGTAAAACATGTGTGGAAAGGGGAAATTGGTTTACCTGTATTTTTCTTAAATCTTACAAGTCCAGTCTTTTTAGTTGTTATTTTAAGATTTTGTGGTTGTTATTGTTTTTAAATGATGGTATAGACATTTTAGATGATACTAGCTTGTATAATGACACTGTGCAGCGTCAGTGCATAACAGAAGAGTCAGGCTGAGGGTGTAAACTCTGACTGGGCAGAGTTACAGCACTTCAGCTGTCCGGTGGCTGAGGGGTTAAAAGCTTCTGCCTGTGGCGACAAAGCTGAACCAGCTATAGGTCACATTCAAGTGCCAGCTACTGGATAGCCAACCTGCAAGACAGAAGCATAATTATCTCGGCCAGTTACAGTTCAATAACTCCATCAAGCTGCTAGCCAGATAGCAGGTTTCCCTGGCAACGCCTCCGAAGTGAATCACAGATCAGAGCGAGGGGGGAGATAAGGGTTGGACCCTGGGAGGACCGAGGGGGGGATACTCCCTCAAATAGCCCGGACCTTTGGACGACACACATGTGTGAAACAATCACACCCACACATCCACACACCCACACACAAAGCAGGTCTGAGATGAGTCCAGTTGGCCGTGTTGAGACCTCTGGCCTGCCGGGCGTCACTCTGCTCCCTCTGAGCTTTGTTGTTTGGTTTTCAATCATCGGCCACACTTTTCCAGACTCCTGCTCTGAGCCCACGGGCCCCGCCGTGAAAATACTCCAGTCTCAGCGCAGCTCGGCTGTCCTCTGACAGACACTCCCACCTCCCTCAGCACTTACTGTAATCTGAAAAAGTTAATGGAGTTTATCTGTCGCCGCCGCCCGGAGAATAAAAGAGAAACTTTTGTGCTGTCGATGCACGGGGATAATTACATCACGAATGGTGCGACAACTTCTACCCCTGATTGAATTAAAAACAAAATCGAATTGGCTTTAGTGCTGATATGACGAGGGTGAGGACAGAGTGTGTGTAAAATGTGCACGCCTTTGAACAGGTGCATGTGTGTGTGTGTGTGCGTGTGTTCAGGTGACTGTCTGGCCTCCTGCCGCAGTGTCTGGAAACTCAGACGTCCCCCCCTCCTCTGTCCCACGCTGCTCCGCTCAGGCATACCTGACGCTCCCCCACCATCCGACTACCACCTGCACCTCACCGCCTCTCCCCTGCCCCCTTCCCCCGCTGTGATAAGAGATCACTAAGCTTCTTCAACAGACAAACACAACCTGACAATCAATGCAAAAAAGAGGAGGGGAAAAAAGAAAACAATCCCTGTAATTCACTAAATCCATCTGATTTCCGCGTCAGCTCCAGCTCAAATCCAAATGTGGGGGATAAATGTTAATCTGTCCTTATTACTTTTATCGGTAGGCGATGTGGCGGCGCGGCGTGTTACATGACCACCTCTGAACAATGGAGTGTAATCTCTCACACACACTCGGGTCCATCAGCTGGAGCCTTTGGTTTATCTACACCTATTCAAGCTCTGAATCAATCTTTGCAGCAGGAACTTAAGGACGAGGCAACAACACACCTCCCGCAGGAGGAAAACACCACGTTTGTTTTATACAATCACATACTGATGAAACGTATCAAGTACCAGCAAAAATATAAAATTCTGTCTCTGAATTTCAGTCATCTTAATTCTAATAAAATCCTGATTTTGCTCTGAATAAATTAATAAATGTTTTCATTGAAAGGCCAGAGAAGCTAATACTGCACCGTACTTTCTTTAACCTTGAATACCACAAATAGATTTACTGCGGCATGCTAGTACATGAAATAAAAACACTTTTACAGAGCTGAGACAAATTATAAATACTGTGGGCCTCATCAATCTTCATCAACTAAGGACTTTTCTGTGACTCGTTCCTTAGAAAGTTTCAGAGAGGTCTAAATCCCGCAGGACGAACGTCATGTCCCCGTAAGTTTGAAGCTCATACTTCCTAACCAGCATAGGTGCATTTCTCTATTCGACCATACAAGGGTACGAGACTGCAGTGTTATGCCCAAATACTGAAACAACAGAGGATCAAAAAGACAAGCAGAAAACATCTGAAATGCCTTAATTAAATCATGAACTGATTGCACACTGGACGCCAAGTTATAAATGATTTTAGCAGTTCTGATATGGAGCTAGTGCTGCTGGAAATAAAACACAATCAAGCTGATTTGTTTGATTATATTTAGTGGAGCCAGCAGTTAATATGAAAACAGAAACATGCGAGGGCTGGCATAAGAAACACTGCGCTGTAATCAGAGAAGAGATACGCAGCAGATGAAATGAATTACAAAAAAAAGGAAAAGTTTGATCTTAAATCTGAGGAGACGATTTCCTCAGACAGGAGAGGGAAGCTGACCACGATCAGCTGTTGTTCAGTCATACATATGATTGGATAGTTCATTTAGTCCTCTGAGCATGTGACACATCGGTCACTGAATAGGAGTGTTTAAAGGTGGCCAATCATGAGTGTGAATGAGTGTTTTCTTTAACATATTACATAGATTTTAGTAAGTGTTATCTTCTTTTGTGATCTTGTGAATATAAATTTAATATTTCATATTTTTGGTCTACACACCAGCCAATAAAATATAGTCTAATTCAGATTTTCTTTTATTAAACCTGAGTGCAGTTTATACTTTACATGCTGCGGTTAAGAAAACAAACTGCATGATTTACAAATAGCTAATTACATTTAAATCATGTATTTATAAATATTTACTCATAACACAGGGATGCTAAATGAAAGAAAAAACAATATACAATCATATTCCGCAGACATATGTGCATTTCAGAGCTCTTGAGTATTCTCAGATTTTGCTCTTAGCTGAAAACAAACCAAATAAAGAAACTTTAGTTAATGTCAGACTCTTCTTAAAAACTACATGAGGTTTTATATCAAGAGAGTGTCCGCAGGTGAGGCCCACTGTCTGTAAAACACACTCGGGTTTTTCATAGCCCCCCTGTCTTCATAATAAAATGATTCGGAAAAATACTCAGCTGTAACATTACCGTGTTTTCTAAAATGTCAAAGGTGTTATGGCGTAATAATCTGTCCTTTGTCTAAAGTCAATTAATGGCTGCTTTAAAGAATTAGAAAAAAAGCATCTTTGTCCCTTGATGCAGCAGACAAGTGTAAAGTTTTGATGAAACAGAAGACGTCTATTAAGCAGTTGCTGGTGGAGGACTAGTTTGACTTTGAACAAAGTTTGTATTCCCTGTCGAGCAGAGTTACAAACTAGCCGGGAGCTGATTTTTACGGGGTGATATTTATTGGATCCTTGGCGGATTGCTCTGAGCATGCTGCTTTGTTACTGTTGGGGGAGCGGTGAGGATTTCATCAGTGGGCTCGGGTGCTGGCAGACTTTACTGCGTGTCAGACAGACCCTAATAAAACTGTCTGGCTGTTTGTGGGCACCAGCTCCGCTCTGGCTGTGCTGCGTCTGACTGCTCAGCACTTGTCGCACTGTGCTGGCTGTTTGGTATTCATGGGGCATGGCGCTCCTTCAGCTGTTGCTGGGGGCTCTGTGGCATCGGCACAGACTGATTAGTTGGCATCGGCATTGTTCGCCATGAAACCAAACGGGGAGACGGGGTGAAAAAAAAAACATAATTAGGGAGAGAGGGGGACTGGAGACTGGGGGAGAGATGGAGAGGAAGGTATTAGAGAGAAAATCAATTGTTTTGAACTGCATTCCTAATATGGGTAATTTAGCAGAAATTAGGTTTTCAGAAAGGCACGCTGCCTTGGGAAAAATTGAAAGTTTAAAATCCAGGTCAAGCTGTAATGATGAATGAAATAACACCTTTGAATAGCATAAAGGAAAATAACTATCTTCCAATAGGCCTAATTTATTGTAATTGCACTTCTATAGTCGTATTCATAAGACGCCTGACCAATGTTTTCATTTTCTATTCAATGTTCAATCTTGTCTTTTTGATGAATTACCCTGTCTGGCTGTCGTCCTCTGTCTCCAGTTTAAATATCGATTTAGACCATTAAACAATTTTGACATGAAATCTCATGATGAAGGCACATTTTGACAGAAATATGCAAATAGTGTAAGTAAAAAAAAAAATTCTGAGTAGCTGATTGGGCATTTGAAAGTGTGCATGTTGATTTTTATGCGACACAGTCTAAGTTTTGTATCTTCTGCAGCAGCTTGATGCACAGAGTAAGCACTTTCTGTCCACTCTTTTTAGGTCTCAAAACATTTCGGTAATACATTTAATATTTTTTCAAACTGTCCATGAACCTTTTTTACATGCAATTTTGCCATTTGGAGTTTGCGTGTAAACAAACTTTAACAGCTCCACTGAGGAGAGTGTGGATTTTTTCTAAAATCTGATATCTACTTTCTATTCAATATTCAAATTGTTATGATATTTAGGACTTTATTAAAGTGACGCAGTCGATGAAATGACATGGCGTGGCTATGCGTTAAAAACGAATTATATAAATTAGCTCCTGGCGATGGATTCAGGTAGCATAGAGCGAAACACACAAGAGTACGTAGTGATTATATTTATTGTGGGGAAACATCGACTGTCTGAAAGTGTTGCATTGGTTTCAGACTGCTCCTGTAGCGCCTTGATGAAACTGGAGTGATCAAACTTGGGGCGACTGCTCGCTAATGGAGGATCACATACATGTCGGCTGGGTCTGTGAGCTGCGGTGTTGACAGGGGTTAATCAACACCAGTCTGGGGTGTGGTGGTTTGGAGAGGTCGGTGTCCTGCCATTACTGATCAGATCATGTGTTACTCCAATGGTATTCAAACAGGGACGTTGACACAATGAGAGATTATAATGCTGGCTGACAGCACAGAGCAGCATAGACGAGGGGTTTAGATTTGGAGCGAATCACTAAAGGTGATGAATTTTTTGGAAAAACAGAAATATACGGCTGGAATCAACATGCACACTTCTGCAGACACGGTGCCGTAGGATCTGCGGTTTACGTGAGTCTTAATAAATAATGTTACAGAGGAGCCGACTGAACAAATCCTGCAAACATTTGCTCTTTATTCTACTTCCCCTCATGTTCCAACCGCACTCTCTACATCATTGCGACCATTTTTTAAGTATATCGTTGGTGCTTCATTCCAACTCCACCCATGGAACATTCGAGATAGAGACGATTGTGCCCTCCGCCCGCGTCCCAAGAGCCTAACCCGTGATTTTTTATCAAGAGAGCTCACAAGTTAGGGTCTCAGGGAGCAGGTGAAGTACGACAGAGTCTACGGAGAAGCTGCAGTCAGCTGCAGGGCAACGAGTGGCACTGACACCTTCCCTCTCTCTCTGTCTTTCACACACACATACACACTCCGTCTCATCCCCAAACCACTGACTCTTAAAAGTACCCAGTTTACGCCTAAAGGCGCCCGACACCCAAAAGTGTCTGTCTGCAATCAAAAAACAAAACAGCTCTGCACCCTGGACAGAGAAAAAGGTTCCCATGTCCCTCTATTCGCCCACTGCAGACAACTTATTCTGTTCGGCACGGTTCCTGTGCACACAAAGACATGCAAAGGTAGAAATATTTTCAGTCAAATTCAAAAAACAAACCAGACGACAACAGCAAGAAAGCAAAGCAGAGAGGAAAAAGGAAGACAAAGAGGGAAATTTGTTCAAGGAATGATCTTCATGGCAGCACACAGACAGCAGCAGCAGAGGCTCAGACAGACAGACAAGCCTGCACTGGCTGCTCTGTGCTAACTAGCCTTTGTGCTGCAAGAGGAAAAGCCCCCCAGCCAAGCAGCCCCGCTCGCCTTTGTCCTAAAGAGCGTCAGCTTGATGATCAGTCTGCGTCTCTCTCTACCAGGACGGTTGGAACCGGACCTGTCTGGTGGACTGTCGGTTTGCACTGACTAATGAAGCCAAAGCCATCAGCAGCCCCAGACTCTGGCTCTGCAGCGCAGGGCAAGCACACTCACTGGTTCGGTCAAATATCAAGCAAAAAGGCAAAAGCTGCAAAGAAACAGGTGAAACTATCTGCAGCATCCTCGACGGCGGACCCTAACATCTACACACCAAACTCTGCCGACATGGCAGCGAGCTTGGCACGCAATAAGTTGTCAGTGTCAGAGGCAACAAGCTTCAGTCAGACATGAAACAGCTTCGATTCAAGTGAAAAGAAAAAAGCTGCAGGCACACTCGGAAGCAAAGAATCCCGACATTAATTGCCAAAGAAAAAAAAAAAGAACTGCAGTGAATGTCAACATAGTAATATTGAAAACATTCCCATGTTATTTTTGCTTGTCATGTACCCAAACACACCAGCGACTGCCCCCACCCCCCTCTCCACCTCGTCCCCCCATCCTGCCACCCACCTCACAACTCCTCCCCCTCAGACTAAAGAGAAAAAAAGCATCAGATAGATGTCTCTGACTGTCTCCTTCTCTCTGGGGAACGCCGAGCAAAGTGGAGGCTTCCGGAAATGAACGCTCCGCGCCACCCGTCGCGTTGCCCCGCGCGCTCGCTCCTCCGTCTGCCACCAAGTCGCCTTTTGTTATCTGCCTCCAAGCTGAGGAAGAGGAGGAAGAGAGGGAGAGGAAAAGAGAGCAGCAGCAGAAGAAAAGAGGAAGAAGAGGAAGAAGAAGAAGAGGGGGAACTAGGGAGAGGAAAAAGAAAGTAGTTGAGAAAAAGGAAGGAAGAAAAGAAGAGATGAAGGTGGGGAGGGGGGTGAAGCTGAGGTGTCCGCGGGAAACTGCAGCCAGACGCAGGTCAGTGAGGTGGGACGCCCCCCCCCCCCCCCTCCCCCCCCCCCCCCTCCCTCCCCCTAGCACAGCTTCGCTCCATCCCAGCGCTTGCATTGTCAGCTCCATCTCAGCATCTTCACCCCCCCACCACCACCACCACTACGATCCTCCTCCTCCTTCTCCTCTCCTCCTCCTCCTACCTGCTACAGACACCGGGACATCAGCCATGTCGTGACACTGTCATCTACACCTTCTACTTTTATTTCTCCACCTCTCCCTCCTTCCTGCATCTTCACAGATCCAACAACAATGAACGAAAAACAAGCCAAAAACATTTTCTTCCCTTTGCTGCTGCTGCCGCCACAGCCTGTCTCCTCGCCTTTGCCCCCCCTCCCCCATTTGACCCCTCCACCCCTCTAGCCCTGCCTCTCTAGCATCTACTGCCCTTTACCTCCACCCCCCCCCCCTCCCAGCCCCCACCCATCACACCAGGTCTGTACCTGTCTGCGTGTCTGGTTGTCTGTTACTCCCTGTCTGCAGCTGCTTGCCCAAAGTGAGATACTGCAGCAGGAGTCTGCAGCGACAGCCCTCGCTCTTTCTCTCCCTCTCTCTCTCTCTCTCCTCACACCCTCCATCCAGCCTTTGCTGGTGAACACGTTCCTCCCTGTGCTGATCAATTTCTTCTCTTTTCCAGCGGCGTGCAGACACACACATACACACACACACACACACACACACACACATACTCACTGCAGCTAACTGCTCGGCCATGGAGGAGGATGCGCTGAGCGATGTTACCACTGTCTCCTATCGTGACGGAAGCTCGCACCCTCGCATGCAAACACCAATCAACAGATATCGTCGACATATTCATACATTTAGTCAAAACTGAGAGCGAACAGTCGTGTAAGAAAGGCGACACACAAACAGGAGCAAATGCACGCACACACACACACACACACACACACACACAGAAGTGGCAGCATCAGTAAAGGCGACAAACTAACACGTCCCCCCGTTAAAAACAGAGAATGGAAAGCAAGACACAGAGTGACATTACACACACACACACACACACACACATACACACACGCAGTCACACACTCTCGAAGACTGTCACACAGACAGCGCTGTGGTCAGTGCTAGCAGGAACACAAACAGTCGCTGTCACAATATTGTGACTGAGGCTTGAAAGCAGCGAGCGGCGGCGTAAGGAACACGGCTGCCCCAGTCAGAGAGAAGCACAACGCTTTATATTGTCTTAGAGAAAGCCTCAATCAACAAGAGTCTGATTTTTGTTTCAAAGCTAAACATGCATAAAAAGTGTCCAGCGCCACAGAAATACAGCAGAGGCCTTCATGTCACCATAATGTGGACTGTCGGCTTCACACTTATTACTAGGGCTGCAAAGATTAATCCATTAATCAATGAATCGACTGAAGGAAAGCTAATTGCCAAATATTCAGACAACCACTGAACTGTTTCACTGTGATTTTTCAAGCACAAATGTTGAACCATGCTGAGATCGACTTCTTCCCAATCAGGATTTGATGCTTTTGATGTTTGTAAATGAAAGGGGTTTAGAACTGTTTGTACGACCAGTTCTCAAATTGCCTCTTTAGGCTGTGGGTAAATGTAATGAGCATTTCTCACATAATATTTATGATGTTTTATCATCTGCTGAATTAAACCTGAAAAAAAACATTAATCAAGCAACAAACAATGGTTAGCTGAAGCTTTACTTCTTCTTATAGTTATTAATAAATATAAACTGTACTAAAATGCTTTTATGCTCTGAAATTCCAATTCTGATTATTTGAGTATATTAAGACCCAAATAATCTATAAAAGTAAGCACAACCCCAATTCTAAATTCTGAATGGTATAGTCTTAACCTGCATTAGTGGATGCAATGGAAGTTCATGCAGTGAATTCCACAACAGAGTCATGTCTGTTATTAATACAGTCCTGCTTAAGAGCCTGAAAATCACAGTCAGTTAGTATTTGTTTCATCCATGTTCCAGAGATTTCTCCAGACTCTCTGAATCTGTTCATACTATTATGTTCTGTATTTTGAAATATCAAACTATTAGCTCACACAGTCTCTCACAGAGTAATGCACCCCTTTCTTATTTTAACTTCTGATAGACTCAGTCACTTTGAAATGTCCTTTTCAGTCATTTAACCAGCTTGTTGTAATCAGTGAAGATGGGTTTTTCCGCGACTTTCACAACTTTTTCAGTATTTCATTGTCTGCGTCTCACTTCCTTTGAACCGCTTTGCTACAACTGAATTAAAAAGGAGTTTTCATATTTCATGAAACAATAAAATGTTAACCTTTTATATGATGTATTTGTTCTATGTTTACTAGAATAAAGGAATAATTATTTGCAAACCATCAAAATCTGTTTTTATAAATATTTCACAAACCATTCCTGCTTGTTTTGGAATCAGGGGTGTAAACCCCTGATGTAAAACACGATGAGGTTCTGAGTATTTTTGTGTTTTGTGAATGAATCTATCCTCAGATGGATATTCCTGATGGGAATTATTTTTGGATTAACTGTAAAACACCAAACAGAGCAAAAACACAAAACCAAGCAAAACAATAAACAACTCACCAGACCTAAAAATATGCAGAATTTTTGCCCTTTTCCTTCTTCTCCCTCTGTCTGGGTCAGATCTGCCCTTGACAGCTTGTTCTAATCTCAGAGCTCCATCACCTTCAACACCCTGGATAAATTAGGGTTATGACCCCGTGTGACACGCAGGGGGCAGGGAGAGAGATCTGCAAATGTTATCATTGATTGATTATGCCCTTTAATTCAAATGGAAAACAGCAGCTTTTTGACACAGAAAGAAGCAGAATTAGAAAACGTCACTTCATCAAAGATGGCGAATACGTCTCTAAATGTCTATCCCGTAAAACCCGACAGAAGCAGAGCAAATTCGAAGCCAAAGATGAGCAAAGGTAATTCCTGCAGCCAATGTCAAAACCGTGGCCAGGTTGAAGTCTATGGGGGATGGTGGGTCGTCACAGATTGGCTCAGTGATGGCGGCGGTGACGCAGAGACAGGGGGGCAGGGAGTTTGCTGTATGCTGAAGCCAGCGGGTCCAGCAGGCGGCTATATAGGTGATCAATCAGCTCCATTACAGCCGTGTCACTGCAGAGTCTGGAGTTGTCGCCGCATCCCGCCCATCACCCCTCATACGCGCACACACACACACACAAACATCGCTTGCCTCGTTTCCAGTCTAGACTGGAAATATAACCCAAACGACGTAGTAAAGCAGAAACACAACCCAGCCGCTGTATCAATGACACGTTTTCACTGAAGCTTTGGGAATCAGGGCACATCAGTATCTTATAAGAGCCGAGATTTGCCATCGATCAGAGAATACACGACCAAGTTGTTGTGACAGAGTTGAAGCAGACTCTAATTCACTCGCTTTGAAATGTACCAAGACACAGCTTTTCAAAGCGCCCAAAAATAGGACCGGCACCATTGTGATTGGTAAGTAGCACACACAATGAGCGGAGAGACATTATGCTGCAGACACTTGCAATGAACCCGTTCACTTTTCTACTCTAAAGTCGAAAATATCTCCACACAGCCCAGAGATTCATATCTGTGCCACAGATGCCAGGCAAGCATCACACAGGTATCCAAACAATGGACTTATCTCAGGCAGTGAAAGCAGTACAGAATGGGAACATGGAGCAGCAGACGCAGGAGGGGGAAGGAGGAAGAGGAAAAAGAGGAAGAGGAGGGGGGGAGGGGAGCAGGGAATATGTGATGAACAGCGCCTTGCCAGCCAGCCAGCCAGCCAGCCAGCCAGCCAGCGGGACATTAATGACGATCATGTCTTGTCACACTAGCTGTCGGGCCAGTCAGCAGATCCTGCCCTTGTCCCTGCCCTTCTCCAATCAATGCTATTGATCTGTCCCAGGGGTCAAGGGGCAAGAGCGTATCAATAGGGGGAGAGTGGCTGATGCAGCAGGCGGGGAGGGGGCTGATTCCAGACAGATCAATGACACCCCCGTCTGCCATCGCTGTGTTATGATTATTCATTTGCCATTAACCCGACCACATTAAGGGAATATGTTTCCTCGGGAAGAAATAGTGCTCCAGGCTGCTCGCTTTCATGGGGAAGTGAGATTTTATGAGTTGGGGAGCTAAAGTACCGGTGTGGCCAGAACTGACAGTGTTCTGGTCTCAGACGATTTGTTACCAAGGTCTCCACCCGTCTGTGACGTCAAGAACGAGGAGCCAATTGCAGCCGGTGGAGCGCTTACTAACAGAAGCAGCGATTGGCTGGTTTAACAAGTATTTTGTGTCTGAGTATTGCTTCCTGTGATGGATTTGTTCGTCTCTTGAACACCTGAGGAAGAAAACTATCATAAAGTGCGTTTCCCCTGGGTGCCGGGTTCATTCCTGTGTATGCAGATCTCTCGGCAAGAGAACAAAACTTCAATCTGCAGTGTGAACACAGTGAAAATATTTGATTCACCTCACTGACAGAATAAAATCAACCAAGAAACAATGTTTTTGTTTTTCTTCCTTGCTGAGATTTATCTTCAGCTGGAGTCATCAGACCTCTGACTCTTTTCCAAGTCTTTTTCAGCTTAGCTTTACACATGATAGGAGACAATCAACATTTTTGGCGTTGGTAGTGAGAGACAGAAGTTAATAAATGCTTGGGCTGTAAATTGAAACAATAAATTCACGCTGTAGTGTTTCTCTAAGATTGGTCTTAAACAAGGTTATCATCGACAAAATCTAACAAAATAATGAAAGCTGGAGTGTCAAAATCATTTTCATCGAGTGGGAATAAAGACTATAGATTATATTGCGGCGTCGTACAAAAACAATTACTGACTGTTTATTAAACAGATATAAAACCACAAAAAAAAGGTCTCTGTCAGACATAAATTCCTCTGAGGTCTGTCTGAGGAGCAGCCAGAAACTTAAATCTGTATACAACTCTGAACTGCTGCAGTTAAAACCCTTTTGCACTCTACTTTCTATAGGCTACTTTAAAAGAGCTTTAAAATACTTACAATACCAAAACTGTTTTTTTGTTCACCCACTGATGATTGATACTCAGTTGGACACACCTGAGAAAAGCTGCTCTCCAGGATATTATCCTGATCACTGATTTCTGTCAGTGGTGCATCAGTTTGTTTAGATTGATCGAAGTGAGGGAGAGAAGCGATCAACAATTCCTTTTAATTGGAGAGAGAACAACACACTATATAGGCACATGTCCTTGAGCAGATGTGTGACTTTCACCTGTGTAAAAGTGGAGTCTTTTTCTTTTACTGGAGCTTCCCCCAGTCTATCTACAAAACTCTAAAATCAGTAAGAACCTATCTGTAGCTGAGGAAAGTCAATTTCAGACTTGCAATAACAAGCAGGGGTGTGACCAGACTTTTTAGACTGGGGGGCCCAGCTGGGGTCTTCACTTATAAAAGGGAGCCCACACATGTTTGTATCTACGTGTCTACTGTCTGTTTCAACACTATCCATATTGGGGGTGTTTACAAATAATTGAGTATTTAGTAGTTGATTGTTAAATAGGTACTCTATGACGCTTTTTTTTTTTTTTTGTTCAATTTTCAAAAAAGGTAGAGATAAGAAATCTTACTGTCTACACACACCAAGCCAGAGTCAAATCATTCGCATGAATGAATTACATGTTAAATCGATGCAAAGACGCGATTAGACACTCCTACTACTCTGGTGGCTTGAATGGCGTGAACTGGGCAGTAACTGAAAATGTCTCAACTTGAGCGGATATTCGCATCACAATAACTAATCAGCACGAAGGTTGCTGGGTGATGTATGAAAACGGTACCTAAAATGGTGGACAAACTGATCGTGTTGGTGTGTGGGCATCATGAATTCTATGATACCTTTTCTTTCAAACACCGAAACCGGAATAAAAAGGAGCTCGCCTGGAGGCAAGTGAGTGAAGAGGTCAGATTACCTGGTAAATTGTTAAAAACCTTTGTCTATCCCTTGACCTAGCAGGTTGCATCGGCAGGGATTACCGTTGAAATTACGTTGACGTGCAAATGAAGCGAGTAAATACTATTCATTCACGTGTCTAGATTCGCGCGAAATAAGCGAGTAGATGATTTTACTCACGCTTGGTGTGAGCGCCCCATTAGACTTCCTTGAGTTCAAAGTAAGAGTTTTAAGTAACAACATTAAATAAATCAAATGTATAGTCAATGCAGACAGATTTCACAGGTATAAGTTTGAAGTCTTTGGCATGTGCTTTCTCCCTAAATGTGTCCAGGTTATTCTCATAACCAATGGATATGCTTTCATTTCATCAATAGGAACAACTGGACACTGCGAGACTTAAATATTGTTCTAATCAGCTGTCTAATAAAATTTGGTGTAAAGGTGACACTGAGTCATTCTTGAGCTCTATGACACTGCCAGCAGTTTGTACTCTACATAATTTGGAGGACTGTGGGACACCAAATTGAATAAAGACGGTCTTTATTTTATTAATCTCTAAAGTCAGCCAAAGAACCTTGAGACTCCTCACCAACCAGACTTCTCAGAGGTTCTGCCACACCATCCAGAGTCTCAGCAGCTTGAACCGCCCCATCTAATCCCATAATTTATTTGTTCAACCATCCCATAAATGAAGGCCCAGCTGGAACCAATGACTTTTAGCCGTGCTGCCGGGGCAGCTGGACAGGGGAGTGCTGAGGCAGCAGGATTCTCTGCAGAAACGCTTTTCCTCCACACATCTGGAGGAGCGATTTGGGTTCAGAGGTGAGGAGAGATGAGAAAATCACGGTTCTTTAAATAAACTTCGGCAAGGCACATCTTGACTTTGTATGCTCTGTTAAATTTGGGAGAGCCAAGGAGAGGTGAGAGCCTTTGTTTTAACTGAGCTGTAAAATAAAGTGTGCATTTCTGATGAAATAAAGAAGCTGCATTTGATTCTGCACCAGCAATTTTCCAGAGTTAGGCTGATAAGTAGGATATTCCTGCTGGGTTATTCTAACATTATGTTTCAGCCTGAATGATCTGAGGGAAACCTGCAAAGGCACTCTTCAGTATTACACTGATGGTGAATTAGAAAAATAACACTTTCGAGCTTATTAGCCGAAAAAAAAAAAAAAAGCAATGTAGCAACAGTGCTTCTTTAGCATAGTTAACGTCTGACACCAAAAAAATGAAATCAATTTTAACTAAACACAGCCAAAGGACTCAACTGGTACTTTTTCTGTCAGATCCTCTGCAAGATCATCCCCATACTGCTGCTCGGACACACCGGGTTACCGTGTCGGATGGATACAACTCTGGGAATTCTCCTCCTACAAACACTGCTTCACTAAACACAGGACTAGAGTTTTTTTTTTGTTTGTTTGTTTTTTTTAATTATTATTATAATTGTTAAATGTGATTCTGTAAATATAGCTATTTCATGTTTAGTACTTTACTTAAATTCTAAATGAACTCGTGTTTTGCTTCATATGAGGTATTTTTCACACAGAAAGAGTTGGCTTCAGTGATCATCTTCATCATCAAGCATACTGCTTCTCTGTGTTTTTGTAAAAGGGTTTTGATCGTAGGGGGGTCATCACAAATATTTTGCAAACCTACACACTGGAGTGCTAACAAAAACTCAGCTCCCTGGTTCTTATAAGTACTTTGGATATTGCTAGGCTCTTAATAAGTGTTATTTTCCAAATCTTTTTTATGACTTTGATGCCATTGAGGACCTCTGTGCCATGGCTGAAATCAGCACTGCTGATCAAGCACATATAGGATGTGGAGATGTGTCCGTCCCATGGAAATGTGAAAACAACCTATCATAACGGACATAGAGATCACTGTGTATGTTCAAGGCAGTTCTCAGATTTATTGCTATTAGCTTAGAATGATGCACAGAGACAATTTTGCTGTTGGAGGAACAAGATTTTGATTTAGAAATACTTTTGATTCAGGAAGAACAAAGTTTCAGTCTACAACATGCACACGGCGTTAAAAGCCTTAAAAATAACAGGTGGAACTTGTCTGGCTGCCTTCTGTTTGTTGATTCATCCAAATATTAAATCATATTTTTGCAGATCCCTGTTGTATCCTCTATTGTGTGCAACATTCCTGTCTTTTACAGTCTACGTAATCAGGTTTATGTTTCCTGTGAGGGCTCAAAGCAGCAGTGAACCAAACTCTGAATGAAGAGGTGTGGTCTTCCTGACATTTGGGTTACAAAATAGGAGATAAAAGGTGCTCTTAGGTTTCCAGGGATTTACCACGATCATATTCCCTCACAGAAACCTGTTTGATAACAATGACTCTGTTGTTGATCTGAGGCTGAGCAGGAACACCAGGCTGCAGTGGAGGTGTTGGTATCACTCCATATTTAATTACTAATAGTCTATAAATAACTGCTTCTAATTAATCTCATTCAATATGTGCATTGTTGGAAAGCAAAAGAGGGGTTTTCCAAAACTGATGTCTTTCCACAATTTCATCATCTGAATCTTTGATATTCAATATTTAATGTCAATAGTGTATTTAACACAAATGTAAATCTACCTCATGCACATAACCCACCTATTATATCATGACATATGCAGGCCTGTATGTTTTTCTATCCTCTCCTCGCCATCGTGGGACTGCATATAACAGTCTTGTATATATAAGTAAAATGTCTATTGTACATATTCTTGTGATGTTTCCCGTGAACTGTTTGTGAATAGAGAGCAAAGTCAAATTCCTTGTATATGTAGCAGCACAAAGACACATCTGTCTTATTGTTCAGCTTTGGGTGTGCAGCTGATGTTTCTAATTATTATTGCAGATTAAACAGCCTGTCTGGTTATCAGTAGAGCCCAATCAAATACTGTTTCGTCCTCAAAATGATGCCAAATTTTACAGATAAAATTATTTGATTGGATGATTTGGTGACCTTTGTTTATGAATATATAGAACTTTAAAAATCAAAATGGAAAAGACATTACCAACCTTTGACTGGTTGTTGGGTTTTTCTGCCAAATTGTTCAATAACAAGAAAGATGCTCTGTTTTCAGAATCAACAAATTTCTGTCAGTTTGTAAGTACAAATACCCAAAATTTGCTGTTTTCAGCTTCTGTAGTACGAGAATTTTTTGCCTCCTGTGTTTAAGGAGAATAAAATTGGGACTTTTTCTACCACACTACAAAGTTAATCAGTGAAATACAAAACAGTTGATAGATTATTGATATTCAAATTATGTTCCCTGAAGGGCCCTCAGTCATGTGGTTTATATATGGTTTATACAGTTACCCAAGCTATAATAAAAACTTAATGACACAGTAACCAAAGCACCCCAAACATTGTTACCTACCATGTTGTATAAGGGCCCCCTTAGAGAAGAAAAATTGTTGTTTTTTTAGGTTGAAATTGTACATTTACAAGATTTAAACCTTAAATTCATCATAATTCAAAGCCGTGTTGACCTGAATGTTATTTTCAGGAAACAGATCACTTAAGCCGCTGCAGCTACTTGAACTAAAATGAGCAACACGGAGCATCCTGTGCACTTATGCTCTCATTCCGGGACCATAACACTGAGTACTCCATCTATAAGCACATCAGCACCACGGTGTCATAGGTTTCAGGATTCTGAATCCATTCAGGGACAAACTTAATCTGTTATGAAGAGGAACAAGCTATTAGACAGCCTGTACACACTTCTGCAACCACTGTTTGTCCTCAGCTTTCCACTTAAACTTTACAAGATGATCCACATTCCTTATTTCAGTGTAGGCAGCAGGCTGCTCTTCTGATGTCTCCCTGTATAGGATTAAGCCAAAGCCTGTTTCTCAAAAAAAATTAAAAATAAAAATTAATAAAAACTGTTTTCTCTCTCTTTTTTTTTTTTAACAATTTAGGAAATAATGTCATGAATGTACAACTTCTTTCTCATAAATCAAAGACTATAATCTCTTGATTTCTGCCATTTTCTCTATCAGCTTAGTTGAAAATTGAAGTACACAACTTGAATCTGATTAATGAACAGTTTCATTCTGCTAGATGTATTTTTCTTCTGACAACTTAATTTGTTCAATTTTACAACTTTTTTATGCCAACAAAACTTTTATTCCAGCAACTTTTTTTCCCCCTCATCAATACACAGCTTTAATAAATGTATAACTTTTCCTCCTAAATTAGCAACTTGATGATAAAATTAAGAATTTGTTCCTGTTAATGTACCGCTTTACTCTGAGTATCTCAATTTTTCTCTTACTCAGTAATAGAAATCTAAATTTAAAGACAATATTTCGATGAAAAAAAAGCTTAATATTGTGTGTATGGTATATTGTTTATATAATAGGGTCACATAATATTGTTTTGTCTGTATATACACACAATTCTTAGGCCAAAGGTAATCTGTAAAGATCTCAGTCACCTAGCCCTCCCTTCACATAATTCAAGAAAAAAAATCAAGCCTTAACTGATTATTTTTTAGCAACATTCATCCAAAAAATACTTGTAGGTAAATCAGTACATCTAGCTCATTTTAAGGCCAGTACACCAAATACCATGAAAAAAAAAAAAAATACTCCAAATTAAAGTGCTAATTGGGCAGATGACAAAGGTTTTAGAGAGGTGGTCCACTCGACTCTAGAAAATGAACGATGACAAAAACCTACAAAGGAAATCACAGCAATACTTTCAACTTCACTTGGGCTGCGGTTCAAATTAAGCCGTCCTAAGGAGTAACAAACTCTGCTGAATCCTGATCTGCTTGGACATTTTTCTCCTGTGTGGTGCTCTGGAGTCATTTTACAAGATGTGGCTTAACGCCAGATAGAGGCCGAGTCAGACGTATTCAGTCTGCTGGACAAGTCTACAGTAAACAGAGAACTCAGTGTCACCCAGGCAAGCTTCAACCTGAAACTGGACCTCATATCACAACTGTTCATTGTTTAGAACGGCGGACAATATATCAGAAAGCCAAGAGGCACCGTATAAACATTCCGCTTTTCCCAGGCTGAGAGACTTGGAGCATTCCTGAGGTCCATAAAGGAAAGAGCTTTAAAAACTGTAAGGTATGATAATCAAACCTGCTTAAGTCTGAGAAATATATCTGACCTTAGTCATCTGCCAAAAACATGAATTATAATGTGCATATGGCGATGCAGTAAAACACTGAGTATGGAAGTCAGCCTGCTGAATCTGTTCAACAGAAGCAGTCATATTTATTATGATTATTATATATCATATGTTGTGTTTAGATGGAACCATCTGTGCATCGTAATGTTTGGCACACAGCATTGATTTAGAGGTGGTTCAGCCCCACGCTGACTAAACAGACCGAGGTGTAAAAGCAGGCAGCAGAGATGCAGCAACAGTTTGGGAAGCAAAGCATCACTGTGCAAAACAGGTTACACAACACAGAAACAGCTCAGTGACAGATGCCAGGTATACATAAAAACATACCTGATGACACCTATAACATTTAAACGCTCAATATTTTCATCAAGTCTAAATACGGCTGTGGTATACGACACCTCAGAGTGGGTACAAATATATATATATGCTGTATATATATTTTTACTCCATTTAAACGGTAACACAGTGATCAATAATTGAAACTTTCAGCCTACCTGTGCTACTTTTATCGCACTTCATTCAACCTGCTTTAAAATGCAGTAATCTAACACTGACCAAAAAAACCTATTGTCTATTAAGTTTACAAACAGACTGTTGTTAAAATGTTGATTTACATCCACTATAACGACAGCCTAATGTACATTTAATATGCAGGGTCAGCCTTAAGTAACTTTAGTTGAAAGATAGCAGGTCCTGCCTGTCAATCATATGACCCTTCACTGTACACAGACTGCAGGTATAGCCACGAAAGTAAACACTGCAGCACGTCTGCTCCATAAATAACTCACACACGAGGAGATTAACCAGTTCATATCTGTACATGTACATGTGCACTGGGGAAAAGCTACACATGGATGAAATTTTAATGCCAAATCTAGAAGATCTGATAACCAGGTCAGCTGATATTTGATACCAATATTTCACTGTTCTCTTTTTGTTAGTTTGTTTTTTTTTTTGTAAGAAAAAACAGGCCGAGCTTGAGTGAACATTTTGATAAATAAATCATACAGAAAAATATTTGGCTCAAGTAAATATCACCAGAGAGGGACCTCATTATTTCTGTTAAACCACCTTAAATTGAAGATGAAAGAAAAAAAACATACAGGTTGAATATTGTGGTTTAAGTTTTTAAAAAAATGGTGTGATGTATCAAATGCTAGCTATTGACTTAAAGTTATATTTGCTGTCATTGGGGAATTAGAAAGATGTGTTTTAAATACATTTGTGATATCAGCCTTGTGAGGGTTGATGTAGACATGATGCCATTAATTGGCGGATTGACTGATCAGTCTATCTCTTGTACTATTGTAGTAGTGAATAGTGTAGGAGTAATGCAAGGCAGGTTTATAGTAAGGACAGGCATTTTGGCAAGTACACAGGCAGTATGACTAACCTAGCTGAGTATCTTTAATGCTTTAGATCACTGACAGTGTATCAAGATGAGTATATTAGCCTCACATCACAGATGCCCAACCATAACGCAAACACACACTATGAGATAGCACTAGGATACAGTGCTGCAGGAACACACAGTCAAAAGGTGCCTCTGTTAACCAAATGTCTGCCCCAATTCTGCTGACATTATCTGTGATCGCCTCGGCGTCCCATTCATGTTTACAGGTCATGCGCAGACTCTGCAGGCACAGTGACAAATTGCAAGTTTTTCTTTTGCACCTACTAAAAAAAAAGACAGCATGATGTGTTTGAGGTCATATAACAGACACTGCATCTCCTGCACATGCCCACATCTAAAAGTCAAACAATTTAGTCCTGGCAACAATCAACTTGTTGTTGTTTACACTGCCACAGTGTTAGCATCAAACTTAATATCTTATTATCATGTTTTCTATAAACTATAAATTCATAGTGACTTAAAGCGGCTGTATGGAGTTTGTAACTGGTTGTGGAAAAGGCTAAAATGTTGAAGATTGAAAGGAATGATTGTGAAGAGGTAGGTTTCTGACCGGACAACTCTTGGCATACTGAAGACACAGCCTGTCTTTACATTTTCAATGGCAAATATCCACAATGACTGACACGTTTGACCCAAAATAAAGTAGGAGGACATTTTTTTTTTTGTCTATCTTTCATGCATGGGAATATACATCTGTACCTAGAGAGGGCACCAAAATCAAAACATAGTAAAAGTTACAGCAGCAGCTTTAGAAAGGACATAAGATACTAATAATTTATTTTCTCAGAGCGTTTTAGAGTTTGACCCCACCACAACACAATTCAGTTTCTCCCACTAACTGAAATACTGTCTAAAATTGCAGCAATGTTACGCTAATTGAAGGTTGAGAACTGCAGCGAGCAGGCTGACCACGTCTAAAGGTCAGCTATGAAATGAGAACCTCAGTTTGGCTAAAATAACATTTATACAAAGACGTTCACACTGCAGGCAGGATCCCTACACATTTTTCATTCTTATTTTCCAGCTTACTCAGATTTAAGCTTCCAGACTTCTGAATAATCTGAATATGAAGAGTGTGAATAAAGCTTTCAATATTCTGTCCATGTCTGCTGGTATTTAGCCAATCTTTAGTGAAGATATCATTGTAAAACTTTTGTCCAAACATCCTAAAAAAGCAGTCTGCAGACATTTCGTACATAGTCATCTCTGCACAAAATAGATGCAAAAACTTCTTTATACTTGTGCTATTTCCTGTTCAAATAAATAAATAAAAACGCTGGACTATTTTGTCTCCTACAGGTCTTTTCTGCTTTATAAAATAACCAAAATGAGTTTCAAAAAATAGAAGAACTTTACTCTCCTGGCGTCTGTGCAGCTTTTTTTTTATTCACTGTGTTCAATCAACATTGAGCGCAGCTATGAAGAGGAAATGTTTACTTTCTGATAACCGAATAACTGCATAATCTAAAATGTTCACACAAGCTTCATATTTGGTTATTTGTGATGCCATGTTTGGATGCAACTGCGATGAAAATAAAATTGGGCCAATAGCCTGGAAACATACTTTCTTTTCTGTAAACATCCAGACCTGGATATGAATAGAATTAAATTCAATACTGTTCCATTCTGTGTGGGAACTGTGCATGGAGGCAATATAAGATTGCATTCTGCATGCTGCATTATGAGCCAAACTATTTTCTGCACAGACTGAAGTCATACGTGTACTCCAAGGAAAGCTAGAAGGTTGTACAGTTAACTCCCAGGATGTAATTCTAAACCATACAACCTACTACCTCAACCCGGATGCACACATTTGCAACAAGAGTTCCTCTTATCTATATCTTAGACAAAGAACAGCTTCCTCTAACTTCAGTTACTCTTTGTCTGTCTAATCTCACTCAGATTATCATCACTATGGTCATATTTCAGGTTTTGTGACTAATAAAGATGTTGTGCTTTTTGAGATGTCAGAGAGAGATATGGAGATTAAAGTTCCCATAAATCCAAAATAAACATTAATGTTTCTTTTACTCAAATGTGTCTGGATGATCGTCACCAATTCAACAATATCTGGCCCAAATAGTCCAAAAAAGCCAAGTATAGGGGTGTGCGATATAAAGTTTATTTTCCATAATAATATTTCATTTAATGATGTGCAAACTGACAATAACAAGTTTGTTACTTCAACATACCATCAGAGTAAAGAGACGATAGTCTGCCTAAGGATATTTTGGCCACCCAACCACAACACAGTTTTACATTTTTTCTTTTCTCTTTTTTCCTTTTTTTTTTTTTTCTTCTTAATTTTTTGGGCTGGGGGGTGGGGAGTTGGGTAAGAGATATATACGTGTATGAATGTTAACCAATAATAGATGACACTGTGTGATGTTAATTATATTGATATGTATATGTGTTCAGTGTTTTCCGTCTCTCCCTGCCCCCCTGCCTCCTGGGACGTTTTTTCCTAAATAAGTTGTTTTAGTTAATATCATGTACAAGATTTAATTGAAGTGTAGGAACAGGCTAGCATGATACGTGACTTTTAAAATCATATTTTTTGTTTTGTTTCTCTTGTTAATGCACCTTATTATCAATTATTATCAACAAAATCCCCTGAAAATATTAAGATATTAATTTGTTGGCTATATCACACACCCCTATGTTTGCTGTTTGTCATATAGTGGGTACTCTTATTGACCCCCAAAAATGTAAATGATTCCCCCTTAAGCTCAGCTTCTGTATCAAGAGAAAAGCTTTCCCTGATTTAATGTTCTCGCCATGTAAGTTAGCTACATGACCTTCTAGAGAGCTAGTAGTTACAAAAAATAACTGTGGTAATATTGCGATCGTGTTTAGTATAGACACTGAAGCATACCGACAGCAGGTCCCTCCTTGGCCTCCAGCTTTTAAAGGAAGGAAATCAAAATAACAGGGTGCAAGCAGTTTCATGGGAACTTTAACTTGCAGGTTAAACTTAGTTTTAGTTCTTAATAAAAGTCATAAAGACAAAAAGACAAAAGGGCAAAAGACGACGTTCACACCACGATGACAAAGACCCACAGAAGCGAGCTTGTGCTGACAGATTTGCCACAAGATCGGATCTACGGGTTTGTGCCAAATGGTTATAGCCAAAGTATCAAAATAACTGGAGAAAGGTTAAAAATGCAGCATTAATCTGAGCTTCTGATTGTGTGATAGAGAGCCGTAAGAGTGGATGTGTTTGACATATCTTAGACAATATCATTTAGTGAGAAACGTCAATCAAACACAGTGTGGGCGTTTTTGAAAAGTCAGACTGAGACAGCGAGTCGGAAGTTATTAAGAAAAAAGCGTTTCAGCTCCGTTCAGCTGATGGTTAGAGAAACTCCAACAGGAACTTTTTGTTCAAATTCACCCAAAATATGAAAGTTCATCAAACAGATGGAGAAAGGATTGTGATAACTCACCCTTCATGGGAAGTGTCTCACTCGAGGGGTTCAGCAGCTCAGGTCAGTTTGTAGTTCGCCTCTCTGAAAACAGGAAAAGAAAGTTTGTTTTAAAACTCCACACACAATGGTATGTAACAACAGTTTCAAAGCAGTCATCCAACATTATGGCTCCTTTATTGCTTTTGAATTAATAGTAACACTATCATTAAGCTGCATAGGAGAAGAAAGAGAGGTTATGATGTTGAAAAGGGAAAAAGAGTAGTGTTATGTCACAAAACATGCCAGTAACTCCTCTAACAACATCAGATCCACAAGAGGAAAAAAACAGACAGATTACTGTACATTCTTAAATCGCTCTGCCTCAGTTTGGGAGCGTCACATGCCTCAGAAATCCCCAGATATGAAATTAAGTCCATAATAATAACAATCATAACTCTGCTGTGGACTGCGATCCCAAACCAGCCCACAGAATTGCCTTAGCAGCCCTCTTCCTGGCCGGCAGCAATGTGGCTGTGGTAGGAGGTTAGCAAAACTTAGCCAAGACCGCAGATAGCAGAGAGCCCAGCCTGAGAGGGATGCCAGTGTAATCAAGCATGCCACGGTCGGCTACCATTAACTGTGCCAGTGCCAGAGAGACACAAACAACAGAAGATTCCTGCGGCCGCACTGCGACAAAGGACAGTCTGAAGTGAGGAGAGAGTAAAAAGACACTTACCCAGATTTCTACTTTCCTGTCTGATTTATCATTTTTCTTTTTCCACACTATCTACCTGCGTGTTAGCGGCGAGTAGCGAGTGTTACAACCATTGCTGTTTTTCTTTTTCATAAGTAATGAGAGGAATGATGAAAAGACCGAGGGCACTTCTGAACCGAGCCCGCTGATACTAGTTCAGTTCAGCGATGTGCCGTCCGCCATTTTCTCCAAAACAAGAAGAACAAGAGAAGGAAAAAACGGGATAAAAACGATTAACTGGCATCATTATTCAGAGTTTTCCCCTTTTTCTCCCTCTGTGTGTCTCTTTCCCTGTCTCTCGCTCGCTCGCCTGGCATCATTACAAACCCAGGGCTGCAAAGATCACATGATTTCCTACCAGAAAGCCACAGCATTCCCAGTAAGTATTCTGCTGACATTGTGAAGACATCTTTTGTTTAAATCAAAACGTTAGCCTCGGCCTGCTTCCCCCCCCTCCCAAAATCTGGCACCTTCTGGGAGGAGGTGAGGGGGGGGGCGGCGGTGTAAAGGGTGGTGTTAGGAGTCATGGCAACCTCTAACTGGAAGGCTGCCCAGCACCCCGAGGTGGGGAGAAGTAGGGGCTAATATGGTGTTGAGCAGGAATGCTAAGTGCCTTCCAAAGTCAACTCTATGGGCGTGCTGGTTGCTTAAGATTTCAGCTCAGATGCCAGAATGTTTTTGACAGAGTGGAGAGAAAAGACTGGACGCATGACAAACTAACTCAAAGTGAAGCTGCTGATATCTTTAGATATCTGTAGAGGACCACAGTAAAGCTAATCCTCTCTGCTTTTTAAGACGAATTCATCTGAAGCACGTGAGCCCGTTCAGAAAACACTACAGAACATGATTCCTAAAAAACCGAAGACGTCTGTTTTTTAAAGTACTCGGTTGGAGACTAAAAACAAGGGAGTACTCAAAGACTCAAACAACTTGTATAAAGTTGGGTTACTAATAAAGCACAAAATGACATCAAAGTTATTTACCTCTGCAGTGAACAAATATGGCAGACATCATATGAATCCTATAAAAACAAGAATCCATGCAGAAATACCTCTTTTCAAATAGATCTGATTAGATTAAAAAAACAACTGATTTGCAAGACTTGTTTATTTGGCAAAAGAAAGCTGAGGGTTTTGTATTTCTTAATGTGGTCTGTGCACTTTTTTAATGAAACTTTTGATGTTGTTTAAAGATTTTTTTTTTTTTTAACTTATCAAAAACCCTTTGCTCATTATAACAGGAATATTTAAAAATCTGAAACAAGTTCAAGGCCCAAATAACTTTCCTTTTTTGTTGCATATATTTGATAAATTTCTATTGTACTGATTTTTTGGGGGGTTTACCATCTTGAGAAATAACTGTCCGACATCATGTTTCTTTGCTGTTTTCTCGAAAAGCCGAAGCATTACTCTGCCGCAGATGTTGGCTAACTTCCTTTCTTTGTGCAACTTTGTTCTCCGTGTCACTCCACCTTTTATCCTCCCGGCACTGACAGCTTACTTCAGTCGTGAGAGGTACAACTGCTTTACAGATGAGCAGTGTTGTCTGTTAAGAATATTTACATTTTATTACTAAACTCCAACTATAAAACAAAAGTTAGACAAAGACAAAATGCATGCTTCACTTGGGTCAACATGGTATATACACCAGCTAGCCTTAACATTTAGAACAGTTCGGCGATTTCATGCAATCCAATCCAATCCAAAATAGATCTATCACCAGTTCGACTTCAGGAGGCTTCTAAATTTTCAGTTTCCATGATCTGATCTTTTTGGCATAGCTCGTATGGACGTAAAAGATATCCTGTTGAGTATGCAAAGTTACAATCAGAAATGGCATCACAGTCAACAACAAGAAAAGGACAGAACAATGGATAGCCTAACCCTAACTCAGATTTAAAAACCAGAATCTGAGATTAAATTCTCAAGTATCAACAATAACAGACTTGTCATTCCATGCTGATTACTGTAAGACTTGAGTCAGAACAGTAAGCGGACACAGTCAGGTGGTTTGTTACAATAACACGGGCACATGCCGCGGACCTATGACTCACCAAAGAGCAAGGTATCCACCAGAGACAAGATTAAAGTTTGCCCTGAGAGCCTCACATACGCTGGCTCTCTCACTCAATTCAACATCAAAATGCAGAGCATCTGCCGCACTCACACAACTCTGGATATGATTAAAAACAGAAATGCTGTTTGTTATTAAAGAAGGAAGACTATGGCAAGTGCTGATTTGTATTCATGCTGCTATGATAATTATTTTTTGCTTTTTAACTCTTTGTTTCCATACTGTCTCTGCTCTTAACAGCTAATAAATCCATGATTATCTATTCCACTTTTTTTTTTCTTTTGTTTCACTGCAATCGTAGAATAACAGCTTTAATGTATTTGACCAATTAACAACCACTGAAATTCCAATGAGCAAGTGTTGAGACAGAGAGGAGGGTAGCTCAGTAGACTACACACATGAACCACATATGGGAAGATTTACTGTGAGACAGAACAAGCAGCCGCTATACTTAAGATATTCCTTGTGTACATCTGAGCAGCTTTATTTCATATTTAGTGTTTGTTTAGTGAGTACCGATGACGATAACAGAGGGTACGATTTTGGAGTCACTGCGGGAAAAGCCAATTGGAAACAGATTGTTGTGTATGTTCTGGCAGCCCGGTAAGAATAATAAATTTAAAAAAAAAAAAACAGAGGGACTGTTAAGGAGAATAATAATAAAGTGGAAAAACCATATATTATTTTATAGAGAGGACTGCCAGCTTTTCAGTGTTGATTGCAACGTTAAATTCGTCCAAAGGTAACGCCTACATTTTTTTTTAACCTTGTGTTTATTCTGTCCCATTTAGCACATGGTTAAGCTGCCATATTGTCCTGCTGCCAACAAAATGTGAAATACAAACACCATTAGACCTTCGAATGGCATGTCATCTCTCAAAACACTCCAAGACAGCTGAGTAGACAAGTCAAGAGTAATATTGTCTAAGTACTTTTAAATTTAAGCTACCACCAACGAGCTAAGCATACAGGTGCAGCAAGCAACAGCATCACAAAAAACAGTAGAGCACTATTTTTTAACGTGTGAAAAGCTAAAAGACGTTCACACATTTAGGACTTGTATGATGCAGCAAAAGCAACCAAACTGGAACTCCTGAAAACTACATTAACCGGGGATCTCTAGACCTCAGTGAATAATCAAACTTTCAAACATATTGAAACTGATTTTGTACATACACTCCTACCCTTTAAAAGATGCTCTGAATTATTTTGCTGTTGCACACGGATGCAGAAGTACATCATTTATTTGAGTAACAAATCTAATTTCAGGATCATAAAGATTATTTCGTTCAATTAATTTGAATCCCAAACCATTGCACTGATAGGAATTACTTTTCATTGTTAGCATGGACTCAAAAAGTGGTTCAAAATGCAAATTAATGGAAATTCTAACCTTGGACTATCTCTGAAATTCTGCGATTAATTATGACTGAAAAAATTAATCATTCATGAAATCTTTGATGAAAACCAAAAGTTAAACACTAACCAGTAAAATGTCCCAGACAAGCTGAGGAAGAAGATACTTCTTTCCCCCGATGGTTTGTGCACCGTAGCAGATTTTTCAGACCATACAGTGGCGACTGTGGTAGTAAATTATGTATTTTTTTGTTTTAGTTTGATTCTGTAGCAGTGGTGTTGGATGCACTTGTGTGTATGTGGCTCACTCTCTCTCTCTCCCTAGATAGGTGCAAAAAACTCTTGTTAGCCGATTGGACGATCTGATCAAATATGGATCAAAGGTATGTCTCCCGCTCAGCAGGTGATAGGCTGGGTTCGGGGTTTTCCCTTTATCAGCTGCAAGATGACATCAGAGACATGGCACAGGGATCCCATTTCCTTTCTCCCCCGACTGGCCATGCAGCCTTTTGTGATAGTGTTTGTTGGATTTTGGTGTTGGTTCTTCTAGGGGTGAATTGCCAGTTTTTCTAATATCCTCTTCTCATCTTTTGAACTGCTTTACCTCTCAGTCAGAATCGTTTATTTGATATTTCTGGGCTTTAATTCACTCTGAAGCTCATTAAATTTAGTTCTTTTTTTATTGTTAATTATCACAACTTTTTGAATAAATATTCTTGTGAATTCACTTTATATGTTGATGGTTGAAATAAAAACTTAAAAGTCCTGTACCTCTGGATTGTACTCTAGAGGTGTGTGAGCACAACCCCCAGGAAAGTCTAGTCCAGTTTAAGAAAATAAATTTAAGAAAAAAAATGTATTTTCAACCACAACAACATCACGTAAACATACTAACAGTGACTGTCTACTATCCAAACAAAGAAAAAGCTTTTTTCATCTTCATTGTGCTTAATGATTGGCACAAGGACAGCAACTAAGGGGTACATATTTGGTTATATCGCTTTTATTAAATCATCATATTACTTTGAAACATCAACATTACACTGAGGCATACTCATTAAGTTTCTCTGAGCCTCAGCCTGCTGATAATTTGCTAGCTTTGACTAACACTGTGGTTGTAACCTGGTAATTCTGCTCATATTTGATACCACATTTTAGAACTGGAGCCATTTCAAATACTAGTGTCAGTACTGGAACAACTCTAAAGGAAAGAAATCACATTTTTAATGCAGGCTGCATCAGCAGATGTTTGATATATTTGATTTAAAAAAATGACAGAAAAGATAAATTGACCATAAATATAGTTGGCCATAAATTTTCCTTCCACCAAAAACAGATAAATCAGCCAATCATTACAGCTGTAAGTGGCATATGTGTTTATTGGGGGTTCTGACTGGCTGAGAAGATGATTAACCTCAAAGTCCCGGATGTACTTCATGGAGACAAACCTCACTTTTATTCTACTCAAGCTATACGTAAGTAAATAATTATCTTAGACACCTTCTTGTCATCTACCAACACATGAATTCTTGTTTCATGGTTAAAATGAAGCCTTGGGATGTCTTTAAAAAGCGGCTTAGCTCCTCACCATTAAACAAAGTCAGCTAACACAGATCCAAAACATCCTCCTGCTGGGAGGGTCATTTCATATCCTGGAAGGCAGGAGGCCAGGGTCAAAGTTCAAATGAGAATGGGGGCGGTGGAGGACTTCCCTTGGGGATATACCATTGCAAACCAGACAGGGGTGGTGGAATCAGACAGACCACTCAACTTGGTAATACATACGATGGTGAAAAATCTATAGTGAGTGGGGGAAGGGGGGATAGAGGTAGACACAAAAACACACTGGATGTGCACCCATAAGAAGGAGATTCACCATCCCAGCTATCTGAGAAACAAAAACAACAGCACAGCACTGCAATAACAAAAAATCAGTGATGGACCAAAACAACTATCTAATATACCACAGTGACAAAACGTGAACACTTGGGCAAGGATTCAGTCTTTTCTCACAACAAGGACACACACTATTAGAAAAAAATCAAAGACACCATACAAACATGCTTAGATTTAACACAGCTGTAAAACCACAGAGGACAGTATGTAAGACCCGTCACTACATCCGGTATTAAGCTCCAAATTTAATTTAAGGATTGACTACTGGACAAAAGGGTCCTTCAGTCTAACCTTATTAACTCATCAGAGACAATGCTGTTGGACAGTCTTTACATATTATTATTAAAGGGATAATTCATAGAATTGCCCAAGCAACTGACCCACAGAGTTTTTATTTATAGTTGGACATACCCTTAAACAATGAAAAACAAAACAAACAACAAAAACAGTCACAACAGACTGAAACCACAGAATGAAAAAAAATATGTTTTAAGGATTATAGTATACAACCAAAATATAAAACAGGCTATTGTTCATTAAGATACGTCTCAAAATATGGTGGGATTGTCTTATTTGTTAGGTAAAGCAATCAAATGCAGACATTTATTTCAAAGTGCAAAGTGTGTGTACCTCTCATGACATAGACCAGGTATCACTAACACTCGCTGCTACAATAGGGTTGAAAGATGGGAAGACACAGTGAAGAACGGTGCACACAGAAAAAGTCACCCAAAAATAAAAATAGAGTTCTAATGCTTTTCTTCAGACAATGATCATAAATGCAGTGAAAACATTGAACTACCATACAGCCAAGAAATATGGAGTCTGAGCAAAATGATGGTGAGCCTGAAAACATCCTCCTAAAATGTGTGTTTGAGAATGTAACTAAAAAGTGGATAAAAGGTATGACAATTAACAAACCAGTCATATATCCACTAGACTGCAGGCTGGTTCAGTTATCACAATACAATACTGATATATGCTGACTTCTACTCTCTAAAGGAAAGATGTGACTCTCATGTCTAGCCATTAAGAAATTGTAGTATTTAATTTCAGTATTTACTTAAATCATCTTGAATAAGTGGTTTAAATGGGTTAATTTCAGCTGGTAACAGCTTATGTCAGTAAGTGAAACAGGTCATATTCCTTTTTGTTTTTTATTCAACTAAAATATGATCATTCAGTATAAATGTTTATAAGGTAAAAGATTTATCATTTGCAACACTTAAAATGATTTTCTTTGTAAGACAAGTGATCAGCACATGAAAAATATTTTTTCTAAAATCTAGACTTAAAAGGGTTGACCGACAGCAACATGTTTTTTTTAAAAATTTTCAGATGTCTTCTCAAACTACATGCTGTATTAATCAGGAGGTGTTTAAAAAATTTATTTTTAGTCTCACACATTCAACACAGGATGTTGTCATTACCAAAACAGATCAAACCAGCAGCCAAAACTCAGAAATGAAGATAATTTGCGGTGTTTCTTCTCCACAGGCACACCACAGACAGCGTGTTATTTTAGGCTGAGCACTTTTATTTCCATTAATTTAATGTTGCCTCAAGCTGTGACAGGAAACAGTCAACAGGTTAATGTGCTCTGAAGTTTCAACAGTTCAGTTTAATGACAGACGTGCTAACACAGCCACTTCACAGAGCTGGAGAGCGTGACTCGATTTGCCAAGAATAGAAGAAAAGAGCATGCAAAGAATGTTTTGGATAACATCTCTGTCCTGAGGTACTATGCATATTCAGCAAAAAAAAAAAAAAAAAAAAAAACACAGACACTGATTGACCATGAGAGAGAAAGCTGAAGCTGCATACAGATTTCCCCTGCAGAGAAGCTGAGCCTCTCTGTGCCCTCATCTGGCCCCTCTCTCTGGGTGTCCCTCTCTCTGTTCAGCCACTTGAAACAGTGCTGACAAAGAAAAATAATTCCTTAGGATACCAACATTTGTTAACATAGATGGCTAGATGCAAAAACTCGATATAAGAACATTGGCACATTCCAGGTTATGCATTTTTTAGTACCTGCAAAATGAATTTGGAAGACTTTTATGAGCCCTCTGTGTGCACGAGTACAAATGTACAGCCACCTGTGTGCAAACATTACAAAGGATGCAGCTCAACTGGTGCAAAAGTCAAAATGTCTTTTTCCTATAGCATATTTCAAAACCAGAGTTCTGCTTCTGATTGTCTTTGCTTCAAATTTGACTCGCTTATGTGCTCAAATGTTGACTAAATAGCTCAGGGTGACAGCAATAATGTTTTGCGACTACTAACCGAGGGTGTAATGTTGCTTTAAACAGCAAACAGAGCTTTTCCAAGCAGCCAGTCAGGGCGATGACTTTGCCTGACCCACCTGTCTGTTGATCCTGCTGCCTAGCACCAGACTAAACACTGACATTTTTACTAAGGCTTATTGGCTGCAGCTGACTAACCACCAGCCAATCAGCATGCAGGAAGGGATGGTTGGAGGCTGAGGAACAGACTGTGAGATTGGAGGGGAGAGGAAGAGGCTGTGCAGAGACAACCAAACCTCATGCAAACTCCCAACGAGAAAGCACCAAGCACGAAGAAAAAAAATCTGCACCAAAGTGTTGTTTTTTTTTCCCTGCTGCGTCTTTCTGGGTCACACTCTGCATCCTAAATTAACGGCACTTTGTGAAAGAAGTATGTGCAGTTTTTGCCAGGGTATCTAATGCTGATCCATAACAATAACAAAGTAAAGGGCGTCTGTTTCTGAAAGGCACAGAATTGATAAGCTGGTCTCAGATGAGGCTGCCATCAGACCGTGCTTTTACCGTCGCAAGAGGAGATCAATACTTAATGAATTCCAAACGGCGGAGTTTCAGAAACATAAATGTATCCTACACTCGAGTGCATAAAGTAACCCCTGCGGATCGATGAATATGACATTACACACAGCCAGAGGAATGCATCTTCTTAATTGACCTGAGCATTTTCAAATTAATTCAAACGACGATTAAAATGGATCGGACTGTGCCGCACCTTCGTCCTGGAATCTCTCTGAGCGTTTTACTGTGTGTGTGACTCACCCCGTGACCTCGGCCTTGTGTTTTAATTACCGCTGTCTGCTATCAGGCAGCTCAGACGATACCACAAAAAACAACAGAAGAATGAAAGGCTTGGTTTAGCATTTACATAGAGATGGAATTAGCTTTATACACTGATAAGGGGAGCACTGTCCTCTAATCAAATGTAATTAAAAAGTACACAGTTGCTGTACAGAAATGTTTCTGAGCCAAAGATGCTGGAAAAACTGTTTGTTTTATAAATATGGATGCCCAAAGGAAACGCCTACGTGGCTACACTCCCTGGAGTAGGAAGTGGTTGTTACAGAATGCTTTAATATTATAATTTGCAGTGTTAACACCTCAGACAATCACAAAGAGAGGACAACTTCCTAATTTGTCTTTTATAGTATTTACCTGATTTCACTATGTTGATAAAAAGTCAAGTGAAGAGGAGTTATTCCGAGTGTTTTTTTGTTGGCATGTGGTATTATTTATAGTTTTGATTTTCAGATTTCTCTGTGAATAATGATGTGTTGCAGCCAACATATTTGGTTATGTTTTTTGTTTCATAATTTGACCATCATGTACTTTGATGCTTTGACAAAAATGCTGCAGAAACTTTTGGTTTAGATCAAATAAAATTGAATTGGCAGGGTTTTCTTGCACATAAAAGTCAGAGGCAGCACCCTCAGTCTAAATGACTTACCACCTCAGGTGTTTTCATGAGGAGCTGATTTTTTTCAGACAGTGCTCAGTAAATTTGCCATTTTTACAGCAACTGCGCCTTACAATGGTGTAGAGGCCACGCTGTTTCAGAAAAGATGCTGTTAAAAGGATAAGTGACAAGTTTTCTGCGGAGCTCTTCTTTGCTTTTAGCTAACGGCGAGGATGTCTCTACCCATAAACAAAACTTCTCTCATAGTTTGTCTGTCTCTCTCTTTCTCTTCGGCACCATCAATCAGACCTGTATTGATTAAAACTCAACGCCCTCACGTCTTGGTTAGAGCATGTTACATCTTGGCTATACTGAAAGGCTCCAACATGTATATTTTAGAAGTATACCAATTACTTACAAAAAGGATAAAGACAAAATATTGTTTCATGGCAAGTTGGTGGATTAATTCCTGAAGGATAACCCCCAGACCAATAGACTAAATATTTCTTAATGATTTTGCCGCTAGATGTGAATTAACACATTATGTTGTATTAAATCAAGCTTTCATGTAAGTTTGTTTTTACTGTGAATGTACAATTACGTATTACTACTGTTTAAATATATTGCATCTATGAGTTCGGTTACACAAGTATGCTGGAGTATGCACATAGTATCTCTTTAGCCCCATTTTGAGCCAGGAAACACTCTGGTTAGGTCAATGTTATGATGTTACTCATACCGTCTGCCATTTGAGGAGATAATTGAGCTGGAAACAGACAATTGCTCTCGACATTATCATCAAAACAAAACAATTTAAACAGAGGCTAAATCAGACCAGAGTATGATTGTTATTAGTTAATTTTTAAATATACAAGATGACGATAAAACTAGGAGAGGATAAGTGCAGGTGAGGGGCTCATAAACACAACTCGCTCAATTAGCTTCACCCACGAATCAAGGTTAAAACATTACTTATTCAAAGAAACCCTGTAATGATGTTTCATTATGGCAAACAAATATGATAGAAGAATATAAAAAGTTCAAAACAAGCCTTTTGTGAGGAAACCTCAACAAAGGTTATTTGAGGAAACACTGCTGTGTTTTCCCCACATCAAACCAGGAGACTGTTATCAGCTTCTCCTGGCTATAAGATCTCAGCGACAGGTGTGTCAGTTTCAAAGAAAGTCAGACCATTAGACAGCACAAATAATTTTCAACAGGCTATCTCTAGAGCAGCGCCCCGTAATCGACTACATTAAGGATGACTCCTCATTTAGGAGGCAGAGCAGGCAGTTATCATAATGATACCTTTTCTCTGCGTGTCCTCACCAAATGCTTCTCCAAAGATAATCCCTCTGCACAACCTCTCATTATCAAAGCAATCTCCAGACAATGGCGAGAAGAACACTGGAAACGACGTGAATTAGTGTAGGACTATGGAAATGATTGCAGATTCAAGACTTTAATTAGGCTCTTGCAAAAACAATCAGACACAATTAGGTGGGACCAGTCAATAAGTTCAACTCATAAGCAAGAGCAGATGAATTAATGTTTGATGATTCTTAAATGGCTATGTGAGCTCAGATGCCTTTCACTCACAGTTGGATGCTTGATGGTGGAAAGAGTCCACAGCTCATATTGTGGCTAATAAAATAGATGACTTGCAGGTAAATCAGCAGGTGCATCAGCTCTGCCTTCCAATGAAAACAGCCATTAGTTTGTAATTGACTTTCTGAGCACTGTCTGAGTGGGTCCAGAAACGCACTCTGAATTTATAAGACACCCACAGAGCCTCTTTCCAGCTTCATTGAGGTCAAAGAAAAACTTAAACGCGATATTTTTTTAACTTCTACAGGAGAGGTCTGTCAAATTATGTCAAAACTTAATGAGCAAGATTTGTTGTTCAGTCTTCTTAAAGCTACTGTGAGAAACTTATGTTTTGCAGTTTTTGGCAGCCCCCTGGGGACAGCGAAAGACCACAGTTGGCTTCTGCCAGTGGTTTTGGACTTTAAAGAAGGGGTATTATTTTCATGTTCAGTCTTTAGATTGTCTTCCTTCTGGTGTTATTCAGAGATTTACACAAGAACACAAGTCTGTACTTATCTCAGACTGGTGTTCTTCTTAAACTCTTCTTTTCAGCTACTGCCTCTTTAAGCACAAAAAAACACTCTGGAAGCTTCCTCCGTTGTTGCCATGGTACAACGTTGATGATATTAAGCTAACAAGGGTTCCGCTATTTAAACTGACTGTATGAGCAGACGTTTTAAACCCCACATCGACCCCTGGGACTACACAAACACATATGTACCTCACATTTTGATCAGTCCTTATAAAATAGCAATACTCCACTTTATGCTGATGGTCCAGTTTATTTTTGTAGGAAATGAAGCAATGTCAATAATAACATAAGTCTGTTTCATAACAAGCAAAAAACTTTTCATGGGAGCTTTAAATACAACAAATATTATTTATTATTTTGACAAACACATTTCAGTAGACAGTTAATCAAAGTCATGTCAAAGTAGAGAACAAACCCTCATCTTTTTGGGTTGATGAGACACAGAGTTAAAACTATAAATAAGATTAAATCATTTGGAATATGTTCTTTTTTAATATTTTTCCCAAACTTCACCTGATTGATAGTTGCTTAAATCCTCACACCATTTTAAACGCTAGTATTGACAGGGGCTGAAATTAAGTATGTCAAATCAGCTGCGCCTGTAAGTCGCTAAACACCTTAGTAAAGTACACATGAATGTAAATGAACTAGTGTTGGCTAAGCAAGCTATTCTGTGATTTTCTGACTGATAGACCTACGACACAAACGTATTAGCATCATAGGCTAATGGTTAATAAACAAATAAGCTCCGGGGTGTTGGTGCTAAAGGTGTATATGCAAAGCGGTAGTGCTACCATGGAATGAGAATTAAACTTCACAGAGATTGCTTTGAACGTGTTTCGCTGGTTTATTGTCGGTAAAATGTTCCAAAACTTTAGAAACTTTGGGTCGGAGTTTTCAAGCCTTTTCGTCTGTTTGTTTTGCTCATAACTCATGCGTTCTTCTTCTGTTTCCTTGTGGGATGTAAACAGAGAGCAATACTGCCCACAGCACCTACTGTAGTGCACCGCAGTCACAGACAAGCATGAGGTGGCTAGTGTGTGATTTACAGCAACAATAACAAGATGAGTTGACCCTCAAATTTTCCACATCAACAAATTTTTGTAGTCGACTTAATTGACTATGTCGACTACACTGTGTCCCAAAAGTTCATGCACCAAAATGGACAACAATTTTGTCTGTTTGGCTCCATAACGAGTTGCACCTGGTCATCCAGGTGTTGTGAGGTTGTTTAATTAGTTCACCTGGTTGTAATAGGCCTATAAATTTCTTGGTCAACCATGGAGCATGCCACTACAGTGTTATTAATAATTATCAATGACCAATAATCAATTTGCAGCTCAATAAAAAATAAATAATATTGTACTTTCTGTTTAATGAGTATAGATTATATGAAGCAGACCTGTCCGTGTAGTTCTCTTTTAATCCCGCTGAATGTCAGGTTAATATTTGTAAAGACTCAACAATCTTTTGCTACTTAAAATACAGAGCTGCAGTGTCTATATTGGGTTACTGATCTATGTTGCCACCGTCTTTTTGAAAACTAAAACCGCAGACACAGACAGACATGCTGCAAACATCAGTGGGACTGACATCTGTGTAACTCTGTATCATGTAGTGGATTTATTGTGCTAGGCCTCTGTGATCTCTAGCACACAACCAGATCCATATGACACATGTAGACCAACAGTAGACTCTATGGTTCATGAGGATATGTGGGACAGATCGGGGCTAACAGCATGAAATCACATGCAGCTGGACGAGACAATAAGGTCAGACATCCGTCCAATGTTCATGTTCAATCATTCAGAATTAAACCATTTGTCTTAAGTTATTACTCCTTCAGTGAATTTAGACAAAAGCCTGAACTATCTTTGCACAGCCTAAAGGCATGTTTGTTTGAGAGGACGGAGGTGATATACATGACAACATGTGGCTGCTCTCAGCCCACAACCAGGTCTTCTGACAGAGCACATGTCAGTCAGTGGTGAGTGCAGGCAGAGAAGCGGGACAGGACAGAGTGGGATTATAAAGCAGCCTGGTGTTTCCACTGGGGTCTCCCCTGCTGGGCTACATGGTCCCAGCTCCCTTTGTCTGCCGTTAACCCGTTAAATCCCGTGGAAGGGCCCATTCACAAATGTGTCACACACCCCGGGGGGGCATTTTGTGAGGAATAATGATCTTAAAGGGGTTACATAGCGTTGCCACTGATTCCAAAGCCCCCCTCCCGTCTCCCCCCTACACACACATTCATTTGTTTCACAGGGTGTTTGCGGATTCAGTGATTGTCCACTGTTGTCCTAAGTTCTCACAAACACCTTTAGAGACTTTCTAAAGGAGGATCTCCCAGTGAAGTCAATCCACACTGACACAGTCATTGTTGAACAGACTCCTCCAACAAACCTCCAGAGTAGAAGGGATGACAGAAAATGTTTCTGCAACAAACCAAGATCCTTTGTTGGATGCAAGGAAATTTACATTTGAAGGCAAGTAAGTATGAATAACATATTTGGTATTGTGAGCTTTTCTTTTCATCTAGAAATCCTCTAACTTAAGGTTTGAGTTTAAGTTAACTTTAGTCCACCCCAGTCCATGAAAATTAGGAACTAATTTTGATTTTAATTAATACACATTTATCATGCCTCAAAGCACTGGAAAAGTTTAGCTGTACTTCAAAAAACCTGGGAAAACTTAAGCTAACTAATGAGGCTAACTTTTAATATGTTAGCAACATGACTGAGTATAAAAAGAGCAGAAGGGTCTCGCAGAGGAGGAGGATTATCACTTTGTAAGAGACTGCATAAGTAAGGAGTTTAAAATTGAAAAGAATTTGGAGATTAAGGATCAAGGCTTAAAACTTGTACTTGATGATCCTGACCCTCAGGTCCTCAAGTATTAAAAAGACATGACTCTGCAGTGGAAATCACTGCATGAGCTTTGAACAACTTCCAATAACAAGTGTCTCAGAGCAGAAATTAGTCATCATTTTATCCATAAATACAGGTGAAATAAATGCTGTGCAAAGAGGAGACTATCTAAAAACTATAATCCAGTAAGTGAAAAAATGCACTGTGTAATTGTTAATCAAATTTGGAGGTTCTTTTTGGAAACCATGGATGTGATCTCTGCTCTAACGAATGGAGGGACCACCCGGCTTATGATCAGAGCGCAGTTCAAAGGCCAACATCAAAGGTGTGAGGATGCATAAATGCTAATGCGATGGTTAGCTCACACATCTGGAAAGGAACTGATTTTGGAGCTGCCATTTACACAATGGTTTTTGTTGTTGTTTTGTTTTGTTTTTTGTGGTCCCTAGCTGAAGTTTTTTTTTTTTTTTTTTTTAACATTTTGCTGACATAAACTTTAAATGGGCATATAATATTCATAAAACAATAACATTTTACAGTTTTAGCATCTCATATCTTGTCTTTGCAATATTTCTGATTGAATTTCGAGTTAAAAGGACTCCACGACCATCAGAATTTTGTTTTCCCATCATTTTTCCCAGCATCACAACTTTTTTGGGAATTGGTGTCAAATATTTTGAAGGATTCTGGCTGTTGGTAAAAATATTACAAACAAAAGTGGTTACAAAGGATATTCACATTGCTGTATAAGGATATATTACTTCTTATTTTGCCTTGGGTACACACTGGTAAAAAGAATTCAAACAGTACAGATAAAACTATTGTATTCTCTGCTGTGCTGTTATTGAGCATTCTTTATAGCTGACTACGTCTTGGCTCTATGTGTGTGTGTGTGTGTGTGTGTGTTTTTGATAAAGGCAGAGATACAGAGCGCTCACGCGGGAGGTGTTGCTGGTTCACTCAGAGAAAGTGTAATTATACTGCAGTAATGCCCTCCATGATTAATGATGTGGGCCTCTGAAACCAAACCATCGGGCCAATGGCAAATTACCACTATAAAAATAAACCATGATGTGAACAGGTCAGCGAGGCCAGAGCACAAAATGTCTCTTAGTGTGTATATATATACAGTGTATGAGCGAGGGGGGGAGTGAGCTCTAGTAACCCAATTAGTGTTGGTCCACTGTCAGAGAGCAGCTCCATCTACATCAGTGTGCAGGACTCTTAAGTCTGAGAAGAAAGCGTATTTTGTTGGCATCTCTGAGATGAGCTCATGAGCACTAGTAAAAGTGAACGAGGGGAAAGTTGGAAAATCACCTCCCTTTAAATCAAGTGCTTATCCCATCAGAGCAATGCCTTTAGAGCATTAAAGGAACAGAAACAACGCAGTCTTAATTCTCGCTGACACTGTCCCATCATCGTCGGTCTTGTAGGAAATGTGGTGCAAATGAATATCAAATGTCCAACCGGATGACCTAATCCTCATGGCACAAGTCATTCTTAGAAACAAGGCGGCCTGGATTTAATCTGGCGAGCAAACCTACCACTGAACTGCTTCATGCAAAAAACATTCCTGAAGGGTCTCTTGAGCTCTGCAGAGTCAAGATCACATTTCTTGTCAAACACTGAATACACCGCTCTGCGTATAACCACATTTGATTAGTTCTCCATAGCCCCCCTCCACCTAACAACAGAGAGAGAGAGACACACACACACACACACACATACTCCTCGATGGAGAGCACTTGACTCGTACCCAAATTGAACTCTTATGCACTCTACTTGTATGAACGATAATGCCTTTTTGTAGCCAAACTGCAGTGGAGTATTTCACTGAGAGCACAGCGCTCAAAGTAGCAGCAATCAGGCATTCTTGCGGTTTTGAATCAACATTTGGAGACGCCTGGGCTGCTGTCGAAAACATGACAGCTATGCAATCACTTCCCAGTGAACTATAGGAATTTATTTACCAAATCTTCCTCTAAGTTGCTGCTGAAGTAAAATCAGGCAGAATAAGTTAAATCATATTTTTTCTTTATCTTTAAAAGGAAAAAAAAAATGTTCCCAGAGTGGGTGCAAATCATACTTAAAATGTTCAGATAAGTAGACTTAATAAGTTTCTTTCATTGAGGACTTAGAAGATTAAATATAATTGAGGCTGAATATGAACTGACAGCAGGTGATGATGCTTTGACGTGAGGATCTTTGTTTTCTTTGGCTGAAATCTGCACTCAGATCACACAGGGGGAATCCCTGAATGATGAATAAAGAGCTACCTGCCTGGACGTCATGCTACACTGATCATCATCTCAGTTATGACAGTGATTTTTCTTGTTTTTTTATTCATTTGTATGTCATAAAATGGACTTTCACACTTGTCAGCGCACACTTAAGTGGCATCTTCATAAATTCCAACATCCACAGCCGACATGAAATGAACAAAACCAAATGTTTCAGCGCCACTAATTCATCCAACTTTATTGCACGTTCACACGGATAATTAATGACCTATTAGACGCACGGCCTCGTGGTTTCTTATGAGTATGAATTAGAAGTGTGCACACATCTTAGCATCAATCAGATGAAAGCCTGACAAACGGCCCTATTCTTTTAATAACAATAAATCAAAGCCTGCACATGGCCGTCTCCATGAGACTGAGAGATAATCAAAAGCAGAGAGAGAGATGGCCAAACATCATGTCTAATGTCCCACAAACTGAGGATCAACTGTTTCCAATTAGGCTTACAAAGACACATGCGAAAGATCGAATGAACCCATCCACCCTGACTCCCTGAGCACACACTGAAAAAATCATATTTTACAAGGCATGTTTTCCTTTTATGAAAAAAAAAAAAATCAGTAGTAAATCTTTTTAATCGGTCCTCCTTTGCTTTTCTTTTTCTTTCTAGAGTAAGAGACGGTCAAATTCTGGCCCTCACACACCGACGACGTCCACGTTAGTTTTCTTTTCTTGCCTCTTTCTTTGCTGTTCAGTCCGGTCACATCAGCTCCCTGAGCAGGTGAAGTCAGCCAAAGACTTTCCCACGGTCTGAGAGCAAATCCAACGCCCCGAGCCCTTCCTGAGGGCCGGCCATCTGTCCGCTCTGTTTGGAGTGTGTTAGGGGGTAAAGCGTCAGCTGCATGACCAAATTCAACGTTCCAACACACCCCTCCTTCATGAAGAAAAGCCCAAAGCATCCATTCAGCTCCACCAACACACACTCGCACACATACAACACATGCATGCACACACAGCTTGTGCCCAAACACAAACAAATCAACACAAACAGTCAGATGTGACTCCTCATATTCTGCAGATTTGCAATCAAAGCTCTCTCGCGCAGTCTCCTTTTGTCACTATAATGCAAAGTAATCCGTAAAAGACATTTTGACCAGGTACAATTTTCCTGCAAATGACAAACAATAAACATTCAAGAATAAAAAGGCTGTGAAATGTAAACAGATGATTCCCTCCTTCATCTTTTTCAAGTCCTTTTTCAGGATGAATCCTCGTTAAGATGGAATCGCTGCCTCTTAACAAAAGAGTTCAGCACATAAACCTTGACCTTTGCTCCCTGGGAGGATAAATCATCTGTGCCTCTGACTTCCACACAAAGATACAATTTCAGCACAAAAGCAGCTCAAAATGTAGACCACGCAAATTTCAGAAACATTGTGGCTCTGCGAAGAAAAACATCTTACTTTGAATTAGGATTTGCCACGATCATGTGACGCGTTTCTTTCTTTCTGGAGCACATGCTGCCACCCCCATCCCAAAGCGTCCCCCCTGCTCTTTTTTCCCTCCTCAAACTGACGTGCTATCATTTTATTTCCCCTCTCAAAGAGCGACTCTGCCGCTGGTGGATATGGTCCTCGCCCCGGCCTGACGCATTTTTAAAATGCGTGACATTGCCTCTGTGGGAGCATGAGAACGGAGCTTCCTCAATAGTAGGGTCCCCATACCCGGCCCGTAACCATGGAAGCAGATGCCTGCCCTCCCGGCCCTCCTTACCTCCTGTCGATCGCAGGCTGTGAGCTGCTTCGGCAGTGAAAAGAGGCTGTGCCTGCCTTTCTCCTCGCTCTGACCGAACTTGCCCCGCTCCTCAAAAGGAGCCATTGAACAGGTCACTGGTCTAGACTTGTTTGCACGGTCCAGGGAGCAGCCTTGATGTAACCCTTGCTCTCCTCTCTCTCTCTTTCTCTCTCTGCCTGCCACACCAGCCGCCCAGCGACTGCAGACTGTGGAGGGGTGGCGGGGGGGACATCGGAGACGTGGATTTGAAAAGGAGCCCGTCCGATTTTGCCATTGTGCCTTTTCATTCATCGATCGAATGAATATCGAACCTTCTGTCCCTGCGTGTGTGAAACGGATAGCTTAGCAAGCATTTTTTTCTCCCCTCTCTCCTCTCAGGTCGTCTTGTGGGCCCAGAGCTGTGATTTCTTTTCTTACTAATTGTAAGGATGTCGTTTTTATTGCAAAAATTATTGCTCTTTAAAAATCCATGCTAAGTTTAATCCTGAAGTTGCCTGATACTTTGTTACAGGAGTATGATCTGGTTCTATTAATCTCTCTTTACTGATCACTGAACAATCTCATCTTTGATTCCTGAAATGTTTGTTATGATGTAATTCATTTTCACATGTGAACAAAAAACTTAATTCCTGTCAGAGGATTTTTAAAAAAAGAAACAAAATATTTCTGAGGTGTCACAAATTAAAAAAGAGAAATTAACATTAGAGGATGTAAAGTAATTAAAAGGAAATTTTTAAAGCACATATTAAAAAACATATACTCAAACCTTTTCAAATTTAATTGATCTATCTATCAAAAGCAATAAAAGGGCAAAATAGATGCAAACTTTAAACTGAAGCTTGATTTCCAAAAGCTGCTTTTTATGGCTGAAATTCTCCAAAAATCTTCCTTTTTTTCTCCTTTGCATCATTAATTCATATCATACCCTGGGAATTAAGATTAATCTATAAATTAATGTGTAATCTGACCTACACAGAGCATGTTGACTTCATATAATATGACAAATAACCACAATTATCATTTTAAGTCTAAATACAATTAATGTGTCAATCCTGCAATCGACCACAACTTAAACATAACGATAATTCCAAGGCGGCTAAATTCTATTTGTTTACATTATCAACATAAAGTGTGTGTGTATGTTTATGTATTGACCCCTGCAGTAAATGGTTATGGGTGAGTGTGTGTGTATTTGTCAGGGCGAGGGAGAGAGAAAGAGAGAGAGAGAGGGGGGAGGCAGGCGAGGGAGCTTGGATGACAGCTTCAGTAAAAGGTGAGAGGATCAATGCAAACATATCAATATTGTTCAATCAGGGATGAGGCGGCGATAAGGTGACTATTTGTATAAGCTGATTCATAAAGAAAAACTCATTTAGTTCTTCCATTGAGATGAATTTTATAACTTAAAACTTTCTACAATGGAATTTGTCTAGAAGCAAACTAGCTAAAATAAGTCCAGTTGTTTAAATTATTTATCTTTTATATTTAAATTAATTTAAAGAAATGAGAAATATATTGTTTATAAAAGAAAGTTAGAATGATGAGAAATACCTTTTTTAATCCTTCAGATCTGAATAAAAATCTTAACACAAACAACAGTAAATATAAATCATTATACATAATCACATTAGATGAAAATTTTATGGAACAAAAATTAATAACCCTCCAGAGAATTAGATTTATTAAAGCAGAGGCTGCAGAGTGGAGCAGTTGTAGTCTCCATGCTCCATGTGACAAGTTGCTATGCAGGGGCCACTCTGAGGGGGCAGGAGGGGGAACAAAACGGGGCAGAAAATGAGCAAATTCAAAGGCAGAGGAAGGAAAGCAAAAGAAGCAGTGAAGTAAGAAGGCAAAGGCATTGTGTGTTTGCACCACACTCCAGCTTTGCTGCTCCCACAGCAAGTACCAGCCCGGCCTCTGAAAATATTACCTCCACCACAAGCCACATGCAAACAGCACTAAACCAGAGAGCTGCAGCTGGAGAGGTGCTACTGGTTTGAGTAAAATATGAAAATAAATACAGACAAACAAAAACAGCTAGAGTGGGAATGTCACGCAGCAGCTTTTGCAATCATGTAGGATATGACTGGATGAAGTTTTTCATGTAGAAAAATTAAAAAGCATACGATCTCTGATATAAATCTCCTAAACTGAACTAAATCTGAATAATGGCTCTTAGAAACACAAATAGTTGTCAGGCACAGTCAAAATATGCATGTGTTGCAAAACTGGATAAATCAAAAAAATTGCTAATGTCATTCCCTTTTTTTTTTTTAAACAAAATCAAAAAGGAAAGAGTGTAAAGATTGGACCTGAAGAAAATCTTTAATTCATTAGATTATTTTTGAAAAAACAGATAAAACTGTGCAACCTTTGCAGCAAAGATAACACAGGCAAAAAAACGCAGAGTGAAAAAAAAAATGCAGAGCATTATTTATCCTGCATGATAGAAAAAGAAAACAGAGCTATGACACACTCACAACAGATGTGGGGTGTTGGAAATGGAGCTGGCTGAATTTAAGCAGGAACAATGGTGGAGATGGGGGCGTGTGGGGTACGAGGGGGTGAGGAGGGGTGAGGGGACGTCTCGACTGAACCAACATGCAATACAGCGACAGGGACGGGCCAGCCAAATCTGCCATAGAGACACACTCGACCGTCCTGTCTCATGTTACACAGCAGCACGAGCCGTATTTTACACAGAGATGCAATATTTACAGTTCAAACATGTGAAACGCTGAGATGATGTGCTGTGGGGATCAGACTTGGAACATCGTGAAATAGGGGAGTATTTTTAGTGTCAGTGCAAGGTGAATTCATTTGTATTCTTACTGCACTTCTAAATTTCTAAATCATGGTTATTCTTACATTTGTTTTGTGATAAAAGAAGGAGCATTTCTCTCAACTTTGCATGACTATTTTCCTCTTATATGCAAAAAAGAATCACCAATCCACTGTTTCTCTTTTATCTTTTCCTATTTCGGTTGAGACTAACTAACTAGAGAGGCTAAATCTGCAAAAAATAATGACAATCATGTTCCTCTTCACCTCACACACTCACAGTGACACACACACACACCCTGTCTGCAGCTCAGGCAGATGTTCCCTGGGACACACACCGCCCCATCATCACCATCACCCTGCCTGGAAACAGAAGCAGCCGAATGCCAAGTGCAGCTCCATCCACCTCGTCTGCTCGCGCCGCCGCAAAGACACGAGCCAGTGTCAGCGGCGCACACGCATCATTACCAGGCAGTGAGGCTGACCAAATACAAGGGGGCATTTGCAAGGGATGAGAAAAGCCAGCTCCCCTCGACTCTGAACTGATCCTGTCCCGCTTTCCTGAATGCAGATTGGGCAGACAGCAGAGCGTGAGACTACAGCAGCTTATAGGGGACAAGCTAGCATTCGTTTTAATGTTTGAGAAGACAAGGTTGATTACTGTCTGTCAGTCAGCAGCTACATTTCTGCAATTATTTACATCTCTGTCACTTGAAAATATGCACCTATTAAATGTTTATGTATTCTTCTTGGCAGCAGAGATATTAAAAACCTCTCCAAGTGCATTTCTACCGTCATGAGACACTAAATCTGCCCTGAAATCCAACCTAATGAAATTCTTTAAGGTTGTCTTAGGGATGGACTGCATCATGTTGAAGGCTAAAAATCCTGGGACACATTACGCCTCCGAGTGAATTAAGAATTTAACGGAAAACTAAAATGTTTAAAGACATTAAAATTTCTCTGCAGTTTTTTTTTTTCTTTTTACAAGTCATTCCTTTGTCTTTGTGGTCCAGGAGGAGCTTCTAGACCTTAAGCCGGGCTGAAATTGAATTTTGAACAAAAAAGAAAAAAAGGCAAAAGTCAATCCACGCTACGGTTCCTGAGCTGAACTGACTCAGACACCATAAGTCATGATCTGTTGTTCTTTCTCTGGGACACAAAGGCCTGTGTGTCCCTCCCTCAGGTCAAGCCCATAGGCTGGAGCACAAAACACAGAGGGGCATCATAATCTCCTAACCCACCCTGGAGTCAACCCCCTGTGCTTATATCAACAGTGCTTAAAGATCCAAACATCTTCACTATATTTTTAGACTTTACCTTCGACAACACTGACAATTTAGTCATCATCACTTCTCTCTGAACATGTGATTTAAAAAAGATGTGTTTTAGTAATCTGCTGAAATTATACACTCTCAAGTACGGCAGCTCTTTTGAGGCAAAATTCATTTAGGCATTTTTATTTTCATTGGTAGAGTTTGGAGTTACTAAACACAAATCCTTAATTGATTTGACAAGATCTTCATTTCATGCATCAAACTGTTTTTTTAACGCTTAATATGATCACATTTAATAACATCAAAAATATAAATTGCCAATCTTTTTGTTTGCTAAAGCCTTCTTCATTTTCTACATCAAACCAACTAGATTAATGTTCTCCCCCCTTGTGCTCACTCCGTCCCTCTGCTTTACTAACACACACGTGCACGTACAAAACTTTGTTGCACAATATTCTGAGCCCTGCATCATTACACATCATTGCCCAAGTGCTCTCTTGTGAAGGAAGAAAGGGTGCGCCACACAGGACCAAACAAGCTCAACATGACAAGCAGCACAGTAATCGTTTTATCTCAATTGCTGTGATTTTATGATCTCAGGAAACCAAAATCATCAGTGAAATTCGATTAATCACAACGCCGCACTCTCCTGGATGAGAACCTGCTAAAAACCGTGAGATGAAACAAACTGTAGATCACAAGCAGCTCACTGAGGATCACTGCATAAGAAAAGCACTTCCTGTATTTGTCACAGCCACTGTCAGCAGAGTCAAACATTAAGCTCTGGAAGGTGCTTTAGAAGGTGAACTGGAACAAAAGGCCCCTCGCCATAACCAGCACTCAAAGCACGCTTTAATTAGGTGTAGAGCAACAAATCCTCCCCATTGAGCAGCCGGACACTTGTGGTGTTGGAGTGGAGTGTATCGTCGGTGAAAGACTGCTAGTCATAACACTAGAGGAGTGTCCCCCCCCTCCCTCACAAAGACACACACTGGTTCACTAATGCCTGTGTGTTAACAAGCCCATCGTCTGCTTCTCTAACTCATTGTCTCCTGAATGGGTGCTAATGGAGAGACAAAACACCACACACACACACACACACACCACACACACACACAAACACACACGCACACACACTGAGGCCCTCCTGCAATGTGCTGCTCTTTTTATAGACTCAGACTGAACACTTGTGCCTATAAGTTGAAGGACGACATACCAGGATTTAGCCTGTCA